GTGTGGGTTAGGCACTTATGACACTCTAAAATTTGAGTAAGGGGAACCTATAGTCGAAGAGTGAGTAAAGGAGCCTTTGCCTAGATGACCCCTTACAATTGGAGAGTGGGGCTAATCCAATCGCATGAACTAGACCTATATAAGTTGTTAGCCTATGGGTTCAGTCAGAAGATATAAGGAAGGATATAAGATGGTTGCATTAATCATGCGGCATACTATCTTGTGTTATGATGTGATTAATGTGTAATTGACCTATGTGATATAAATTGCTTATTCGTTTATATGTGTCACACTTTAATATGCTTTAATTAAGTTTTTTTATTACTGAGATTGTTTAATCTTACTCCCGTTTGTTGATATCATTACAAGAGATAATAAGGATAAGAAAAAGGGGAAGGCATTGAAGCCAAAGAACTAGAGCTTATCTTGTAAAGTTTTTAGTTAATATAGGTGTAATTGACATTATTTTACCAACATTAAGGGTTTTTCATATTGATTTATGTTTGTTTAAAATTCACTTGTAATAATAGCCTTAAACTTTAATTTTAGGCATTTTGTATTGTCTTGGCCATAATAACTTAGTAGGGTCCAACCCTTAAACTGACCATGGAGTGGGCCAAGATATCTTAAACAAGTATATTTTAACTAGTTAAATGGGTTTTACTTGTTTTGAATGATCATTTAGCTTGAATGTAAAAAATTACATTTTTACCTCCTTATCATGTGTCTTATAAAGGTTAAGTGGTCCATTCTTGTATTAAGGATGGTTTGGTGTTTGTGACTATTTGGACAAGTGTACTAGAACTTATTGAGTATGATTTAAGCCCTTGTGTGAGCTAATAGCTTATAATTTGAGATTTGAGTACTTGATTGATGGTTTAGAAGGAAAAAAAATGTAAAATTTCAATTCTGGGTGTCTAAATTCTTCATCTGATGTCGGATTGATGTGAAACTAAAAACATTAATTAGATTATGAAATTTTTGATTTGTGGGCACTTAAATCACCTCAATCAGAGGTCTAAGTCAAAAATTATGTGCATCAAAAGTTCATGATTGGTAGTTGTAATGACAAATGCTGTAATGAAGTCTTGGCTGTGGCTTAAAAATTGTTGGCCGCAGCCAAAGGGTGGTCGAGAGCATTTAGCTACAGCCAAAAGAGAATTGACTATAGTTAAGTCTTTACTGGAAGTGTTGGCCGTGGCTTATTATGCTATGGGCCACGACCAAGTATATCTGTTAAGTAAAATGACCTTTTTTACTTTATTTTGACTTATTTTCAACTCTAATTGATATTCATGCTTCCCCATACTTTTTACTTTGACGTATAATGTTTAAATAACCTTTTATGAGCCATGGCCAAATATATCTGTTAAGCAAAAATGACCCTTTTTACTTTGTTTTGACTTGTTTTCAACTCTAATTGATATTTATGCTTCTCCAATACTTTTTACTTTGACTTATAATGTTTAAATAACCTTTTAAACTTGGCTTTGAGATTAAAAAATTAATGGAATCTCATCTTTATAAGATTTTTCTTACTTAACCTTTTGAGTTTTTATATTACCAAAGTTAATCTTTTTCTTTCCATGATATCTTTTATTATTGATTTAATTAGTTAGGATTATCATGACATATTTATCTTAAGGTTAATTTCTATGCTAGTTATTTATTTAATTAATAGAGATATTATAGCAAAAGCTTACATTTAGTGTTTGGATCTATAGGCCATACCTAACTCCACATGGAGTATAGATTGTAATTTTGGGAGTTATACTAAATCTTGATTGCTTGTTTTCCCTTCTAACTTGAAAGGTAAAGGTAGCTAGGGATTTAATTCTTTACTGTTTATCTAATCTTTAAATATTTTTAATAATTTAATGAATTCGAAGTATAACCTTACTTGTGACTTAAGGTAACTTGGTAGTTTATAAGATTTAGACTTAATGTGCAGTTGATATGCTAAGCGATTTGGTTTAAGATTATTTTTAATTATGGTTAATATTTTATTACCATATGGTAATAGTGCATGAGTCTAAACTACAATACCTATGATTAGGTGGTAAAAGGATCATGTCACCTATGTGTAGCCCATTTCACTAAACCATTCTTGTGGCTCAATGATGGAAGGTGTTAGGGTTGGTGACACTAAATCAAGGCTGTACACTTCCAAAAGGTGAACCTTGTTGGCTTAAATCCTAAACTACTTGATGTAGAAGGGAAAGGGCAATATTAGTATTTGGAATGAAATGTTTTATTGAACATGTGAGATAAAACATGTGACTTATTGGCAATTATTATAGGATTTGCATTATCTAATTAAGAATTAAATCCTAATTACTGAGATGATATTTCACTCCCTTTATCTTATGCTAACTTGCAGGTGATAGTTCTAGCAACATCAAGAAGGCTTTGGACTAGTGATCTTCCCCTCTGTGCATAGACCACTATGATAGGGAGTTACCGTGCGAGTGCTAAGTATTAAGTACTTGATTGATCTGTTTTGATGATTTTGTGAGGGACTTTAAGACCCCTTATTTTTTTTGTTCTGGTTGGATTCATGGTTGGTCATTTTGTTTTCAAATTATTTTTTTTAATGTTTTGATTGAAAGTTGAACTATTGACAATTTAAATAAAGTATTCTTTTGTTTTAGTTTGAATAACTATGCATTTGGACTAATAGGTGATTGCCCCCTCCGCTGGGCCCCTTTTTTGTATGTCAGGTTTTCTCTTAGGGCAGTATCCTATGAATATGTTTTTACTTTATAATTGACTAAGGAAACAAGGCATCCTAGATTGGGGTGTTACAATTGAAACATATAATAATTATTAATTAAGGCAATTATTGATTTAATTGGAAAAAAGTTGCACTCCCTTAATATCAAGAGTGGCCCAAAGGAAGAACTTATCCTAAAAAAACTAGCATATTGAGTAAAAAAGCCCCTTAAACTTGTAAAGTTCATTTCACTTATGAGGCTCTCCCTTATAAATCGACATCTCTAGTAATTCCATTTTATAATACTTCACTTGGCCTCTTGCTAGAGGAGCATCAAAAGACTTCATGGGTAGTCTTTTTTGTGACACTGGCCTCTCGATAAAAGTACCAATGTCAAGAGAACAATTTTAAAAGAAAAGTCCATTCCAAAAGATTAATTTATTGGATAATAAAGTCCCTTAAACTTATAAATCGCATTTCAATTATAAGGTCTCCAATGTAAGACTCATGAGACTTACTAGAAGTCTCTTATTCGAGTCTTGAAAATGAAGTAACAATTAGTAGTAGAGTTTTCACCTAAAAGAGTCTCAACTTGAATTGATCCAAATTAGCCTGAGATCTTGCTTGTCTCTATAATTACTTGATGCAAGGCAAGCCCGAAATATTATATTGATGAACCACGTAAGCTGGATTGATCCAATCGAATTAATTTGAACTCTTATTAAATCTCTAGCTATCCACGTGTGACAAGCCTAACATACTAGATGTAACACACACACACACGCAAAAGGTAATCAACGATGCTATTGCTGGTTATTTGAGTCATATCAAATATTGTTCTTTCTTTCGGAGTAGATGTATCTATATATTGCTGGTAATAATCAATAATGATTATGCACATACAGAGTGTCGCTGTGCTGTTTGCGTACTGTTACGTTGAAATATAATATATAGTATGCATATACAGATTCACAAGGCAAATTGTGACTTTGGCTAGTTAAATCATATATGAATATACTTGTCATCATCAAAAGAAGAAAAATGAAAGGAGTCAGAGAAATGTCCGAAGCAATTAATAGAGCATGAAGTTTGAGCTTACAAGTTCTGTATATATATTGGCGATATAACTGCCCTGGCCTAAAATCATTACTTGACATATGAGGCTTCCACCAGATACAGAAATTTGAAATGATCATGAAAGGAGAGCCTTAGCTTGTTGAGACGCCATCGTATTCAATCAACGTAGATCAATGTATATGCGTGTACAGCCTGGCTTTTTGTCTATAATATAATATGTTAGCAGATCACAGCTGTAAAAGGCAGCACCAGCTGTCATGAACCGAATATGATTCTACGTTCTACGTACTCCCTCTTCATTCTTCTTCCCATATTCCTCAATTTGAAGTTACGTTGCATCATCCCAAATTCCATATCACTATCTTTCCCAAGTCTCACTCGGCTGGCGCCACCCTCCACAAGCCCTACTTGATCTCCCTTCATAATTATCTCATTCTTTTAGCATAGTATATGGAAGTCCAAGTAACCAGCCGGACTTAACTAATAAATCATTAAATCAATACTTGATTAGTTCAATAAAATGGTTTATTTATCGTGATTCAACTGCAGTTTTAACTATTATCTTAATCGGTTCAAACATCAATCTGATTTCAGTACTTTAGCTTTCAATTTCCCTTTCCATTTACTTTTTCATTTCTTCTTTTGTGTGTCTAAATATTCATACACAACCCCTTGATAATGCTATACGCTCGTTTGGCTGTATGCGCCCTGATCGAGAGAGCACACCAACCTCATATAATCCGTACAACTTAAGAGAGTCTATCAGATCAGACTTGATTATTACTATACTACACTGTATTAGGAATTCACAGCTGGAGAAGATTTATTGGATTGATATAAATGGTTGCACTCCTGCCAATCGGTTTATTATCGAGTTTTGTAAACACAGGGTAACAACCGTTATTGATCTTCACCAAATTATAAACATACTTCTTGGGCTTGTCCTTGATGCCTATAAATGCTGAAAAGAATAATTAGTTATGTTGTCACTTTATCGGTCATGTATACAAGTGTACAAACTCTAATTGTGCCAAAAATATCAGCTATTGGGTTGAATGAGCTGAATCCAAATCGCAAATTGTTCTCTAAATTTAGAGAGTTCGCGTATGAGAAGGATCTATCCACCAGCCGAGTACCCATATGTCAAGACAAGAGTCGTGCGGGTGTGAGTCTTTATCAATTCCCATTTGCAAGTCAGAAAACCAAACCATTACAGAGAGAACAATAAAGAGCTGACCTTAACCTTTGTTCTATACCAAAACAAAACCTCTTTCCTTACCGGATTAGATGTTCCTACAACACTGTATTGGTCACTAAAACAGCCTCTCAATTTCAGGCCACCATGCCCCACGTTTTTTTGGCACTGATGGTAAAAATATGCCCCAGCTCACACCCTTTTCTTGTATTATAAATGCATCCTCCTGGCTGCTCAATATTTCAGCACAAGCGACTTTCCCAGAGGAGTAGCCAATAACTTCTATTATTCCTCCAAGCTCGTGTTTTGCTGTATCAATAGTAATGGCTCTTTCTAAGTTTCTTGTTGCTTCGCTCCTGATATCCCTTATCCTTGTTCACGATCACGCTGTGGATGCGGTAATTAATTAATCAATAACATATATTAAATATCCCCTGTGACTATTTTATATATTAATAAAGAACCTTTTTTTTAGCAGGTCGAGGGAGAAGCAAAGGAGCAGGGTTCTGTAGTTCAGAAGATAGGTAATTAAGGCTCTCTCTCTCTCTCTCTCGCTGAAATGATGATGATGATGATGATGATATATATATATATATATGAGATCAGATTGTAATGGAGCGTGTGGAGCGAGATGCCGACTGGCAAGAAGGCAGAATCTGTGTAAGAGGGCGTGTGGGACGTGCTGCAGGCGGTGCAACTGCGTGCCGCCGGGGACGGCCGGCAACCAAAAAGTGTGTCCCTGCTACTACAACATGACCACTCATGGTGGCCGCCGCAAGTGCCCTTAATCCATCACTCTTCATTCCTTCATTGTTGAATCCTTCATCATTACTCTGTTTCCTGTTATTTTACTACACTACTACTCGTACCATTCACGATCAATAATTTTCCCCCCTTTCTGCTGTACTGTTTCGATTTTCAACTCGATGATCTAATAAATTATGTGGATTTATTCTGTAGTGAATCGTCATATTGCTATTTAACAAAAACACGTTTCTATCATACTATACAATGAAACATTTAATCTTTTCGTGCACATTAAAAATATGCATTTAGGATTTTTTTTTTTTTTTTGCCAGCAGAAAGACAACTTTTTGAATATTTGAAAAGGGTGAGAGGAAGGGATTTTGCCCTTGAATTATCCTATTAGACGCACTAGTTCTTTTAAACTATTGATTAGAATGATGTTATTCGTCAAGCATATATCAAAATCATTATAGTGTCGATTGCCTTTAGATTTGGACATTGACGTTGACCATTAACTTTATATAGACTTTGAACTAAAAAGTATTTTAACCTTTAAAAAATTTATAAAAAAAGGAACTGATTAGCACTCTAAAATATAGTTGTGACAAGTGATTACAATTTTTTTTTTTTAACGAAACCATGTCATATCATGTTTAAGGTACTGCATAAGTTGCCAACTACATAGTAATTGGTAAAAAAAAAAATGTTAATGTGTAAGCAATCAACTAACAGTACTGTCTAAAAGTATATATGTCTAGACTGTCACAAGTTATGCAAGTGTTTGATATCAATCAATCCTATGACTAGGCTAGCTCAGGACATGCATGCATAAGTTATGATAACATCATTGCTAGTTGATAATTATGGTGGCGGATGACAAGCTCACCCCCCCAGACCAAAAAAAAAAAAATCCCTCCCCTTTTTTTCTATGGAAGTATTCTCAGTTAGCAAGTCAAATAACAACAATTTGTTCATCTTATTTTTCTAAACCAGAATATGTATATCATATTTTGACGCGGACTATTAATTAGTGCATGCTAAGAGTTTTTTTTTTTTTAATAATATGATCCATGAATGCCTAGTTAGCAAATCATGCATGCCCCAGCCATATTTCCCCCTTTTCCATTGGAAAGTAATGTTCTGGAAGCATTCGCCTATTTGGATGGAAAAGCCTTGTGGTAACCCGTGACCGGCAATTAGGAGAAGAAGAAACGTGCTTAGATGAAACGTCTGTGTCCTGTGTTCTTCAACACGGTTTATTTAACTTGATTATAGGAAATGTCAATAGAAACCATTCTCGTGTTATCATGTAAAAATACACCAATACATTTGGTTAAGTAATAATTAATCTATCGTATTCTGTGACTGTCACTGTGAGTCTCTGATTTTAAATTTTTTTATTGCCAATCATAAATGTCTTCAGTAATTTTTATCCCAAAAAAAAAAGAAATCAGAAATGTCTTCAGCAAATGAGCATAGAATGAACTAGGCCAAGCCCAAAACATGCTCTTGCAGGCCTGGCCCGTATCTTGTGTTAAGCTAGAAAAATTGTTTTGGTTGGGGGGTGCGGGGTGCCTGAGAGCCCGAGCCGATTAAGATTTTGAAATTGCTTGAAAAGATAAAACAAGGATGTTACCAAAAAAAAAACAAATGATAAAACAAGAACTAACCATTTTCTTCACCTAAAAAGACGAAATTGCCACTTTTCTTGGACCACGAAGTCTTGGTCCTGATCCAATCCTGCATGAGCAAGCTGTGTTTAATTTTAAACCCCCTGTTCAAATGATTTGTTAGTAATTTAATGTCGAGGTCTTACAATCAGATTGATTGCTTCAAGTCATCATAAATTCTAACCTTGTTTGGTCTTCGTTTTTTTTTTTTTTACAAAAAATAAATAGCCCTTTGGCATACATTGATATCTTGAATTTGAAGGCACGAAATAATGGTTGAGGAATATATTTAAAATAGCCAAACCTAGGGATGGATTAAGTGATGTACATGTAGTTTTAAAATTTTTACTAGTGTTCTTATTACTAGTTTATCTCAGACATATTATTACAAGGGACGTTTTATCATATGGGATGTCTTCATATCTTTGTTTCCTAATACATCTCACAGATATATAGGTTTTTATAACCCAAAAAAGTAATTTAAAAAAAAAAACTTATGTGCGCCACTTTTTTAGTAGACTTGACCAACATAATGACATTCAAACTAACTGAATTTGAATTCAATAAATGACTTGAATCTACTTATTCAATGAATGTGTCATGTAGATGTGATATAATAACAATTGTTTAATTTAATTAAATAAATTTAAATTTAATCAGTGATTTAAATTCACTTATTCAATAAATGTTTTACGTGGTACAATAATAATTATTTAATTTAATCAAATAATTATAAGAAATTTTATTTTTATAATACTCATAAATACCAAATATCATGTTTTTGGAGGAGACAATATATGAGGAGTGATTTGATCATAAGGATTGATTTAATTTTTGAAAAAAAAAATATACCTTGATGATTATTAAATATTAATAAAATTTAATTATTATAATTGAGACGTTAGTTGAACAAGTGAACTTAAATCATGTACCAATTTACATCTAAAATATCTTGGTTGAATAAGTATTCACGTGTTATGTGCTCATGGCTATCACATTCACCATGAAATTTCATGATTCAATGTCAAATTTCAATTTTTCTGCTAAAAAAAAAAAGTCAAGTTTCAATTTATTGATGCATTTATTATACTCACTGATATTTTAGTTATTTCAATTAACTTAATTAAAAAAATATGGCAAACAAGATAATAAAGCATGATTACAAACTTAAAAAGGAAAAATACATATAGATTATGTGGAATAAACTTATTTATAAATAAATTTTACGAAATTCAAAAACTATATTTAAATTTTTTGAGACCTAAGTATAATTTAAAATTAGATTGCAAAGACAATGATATTCGTATTAAAAATTTATTATATCAACAAAATAATTTATTTACATTTACTATATCAACAATTTATAACTATAATTTTAACTTTTTACAACTGTAACTTCACACATCCAATGATTAAACAATCAAGTATTACTAAAAATAATTAACATTAGTTCTTTACAACTATTTTATCAATAATATACAACTACAACTTTAACTTTTTTTTAATTATAACTTTACATATTTAATAATTAAATTGATTAGTTTAACTATTGAACATGTAAAGTTACAGTTATAAAAAATTATAAATTATAGTTATAAATTATTTGACTGACGTAATACATATATATATATTATAAGGGTATTATTATCTTTTTATTTTAATTTTAAATTACACTCAAGTCTTAAAAAATTTAGTTATGATTTTTAAATTTTATAAAATTTATTTATAAATAAATATGTTCCATGAGATTTATATGTAATTTTTTTAATTAAAAAATCAGGTCATTAGGTTCGAAATCTTGATTATTGAGTCGAGAATGCAAGAGGCGTAGGCATTTCCATTGATTTTTTTATGAAAGCATTTCCATCAATTAAAATTATATGTGTGAATTAGACACTTATCTAACAAAATGGCTGCATATACAATCAAGTTTGTAAAACAAACATTTGAAAAATTTTAAATCTTTGATGAATCATTGGATAACTTATTGTTATCAAGACGCACAATTTTGTTGAGAATATAATGCCAAGCAATGTAAAATACAGATAAACCAAAACCAGCAAACAAAATCCAAAGATAGCAATAAACTGTTACGACTCCTTTTTGTAGGCGTAGGGGAAAAAAACACGGTTTTTTAAATGAAAATGCAATGATTTAGATTTGGTGAATAATATAAATTTATTTATTTATTGAGTGTCTTAATTATAATTATTAAATTTTATTAATATTTGAAAAATTATCAAGATGCTTAAAAAAAATTAAAACAATCCTTACTATTAAAATACTCATCATTAATAATATCTCTTTAAAAACATTTGAGATTTGATATTTTGTAGGGATTATATAATAAAATTTACTGTTCTATTAAATTAAATAATATCATTATATCATACGAATCACTTATTGAATAAAATAGATTTATCATACTTGCCGGATCTAACCCAGAAAGCAAGGTAAGGATGTTTAATTAAAATTAAATCCTTGAATTGACAGTGGCCAGATGTACACAAATGATGTGGTTCAGAAAAGAGATTACAGGAGTAGCATTAAAGTTTAATAAATGAAGGAATCATGTGTGATGGTTTGTAATTTTACGTAGCGGCTGAGAAAACCTTACCCACAACTCACAAGATCTCAGAACCTAACCTTCCTTTTGCTCTTTGCCTTAGATTACTCGTTACTATACAAAATTTGCCCCCTCCCCTGTTTCCGCTTATAAATATTTCACTTCACTCATTTCCCTCTTCACGCTTATCTTTATCATCATTCATGGCCTTCTCCAAAACTCTCGCTGCTTCCCTCATCTTCTTCACCCTCGTTCTTCTGCAACTTGCCCAATCTCATCTGGTATCGTCCTCCCACTCAATCCATGACTATTTTGCACGGTCTGTTTGATCCTCAGAATTAATTATTTAATTGTGTTCCTCAGGTTATCAGAACCGCGGTGGACGGCCCCTCACCTCCCCCCCCGCACATAGGTACGTCACGTTACTTCAGCTTGAAGCTTCTCTTCAACATTCTGATCAATTCTTTGTTTGGTTTGTAATGTGGAGCAGATTGTGATAGTGAGTGCGATAGGAGGTGCAAGTTATCGTCAAGGCCAAACCTCTGCAAGAGGGCTTGCGGAACGTGTTGTGCTCGCTGCAACTGCGTGCCTTCTGGAACTTCCGGTAACTACGACGAGTGTCCCTGCTACGCCAATATGACCACCCACGGCGGCCGCCACAAATGCCCTTAGTTTTATTACATCAAACCGTCCTACAATGTTTGTCTACATAAATAAATAAGTCCTTTATCCATGTGCCTGTGCTTCTCCGCCCTGTTCCTATTTTAATTTTAACGTCCCACTTATTCAATGCCAAAAAAAAAAAATTTAATGTCATACCTGATTTTTAATCATCTCCTGTTCTCATCATTTCTATCTTCTTGGGTTCAGTGATTTTGGAGATTCCTTGAAACTGAAAGTCCAGAAAAATGCTTCACACAAAGTCATAAACTATAACATTTGGGTGGAGGGGGTGTTGTTCGTTATGCCAGCACAGAAAACTTGCGATGGAGCCGAAAACGGTTACACACAAAAGAAAAGAAATGCGAAACAATCCGCCATACTTTAATTCGCGTCGTTTAACACAATTAAGCTTACCAGAGACTCCGCAATAGAACCCAATTCGGTCTAATGGATAGCTCCTATTCATCCGACACGTCCATTAATTGTGCGTATGAATATGATTTTGATCCAAGGATGAAATGGCCTTTTTGACTAAACGCACCGAGAAATCAGACTTCGGAGACACCCAGCAAAACATGAGTCTTCTGCTCACCCGATCAACGCAGCTCCTGCGGCACGAGTCTTTTAAGCTTCCTTCAACCGGCCGACTTCTCGCCGAATGCTACTACCCGTCCGCACGTGTACCCCCCGACTCACATGAAAAACTCATTTTCATAGCATCCGCATGATCGACGCTTGCATCGCACATGCTGCGAGTGCGCGTGGAAATGAATCTCCCCCGGCTTCTTCTTCCCTGCTTCCCCTGCCACAATATAAAAATTGTGCAGAAACAGGAGAAACTCTCCGTTGCAGGCTGCAGGCAGTAGAAACAAACGGAACGAGCCTGCTGCTGCTTACCTCCTCCGTGCTGTACGGAGAGATGCGATCTGACACTTGTCAACTATCTTTGCCTGCTTTTAACCTTTTCAAGACCTGAGAGATAAAAAAAATTAAGAACAATATCTACGAGATAACTTGTTTAAATCTCCGTGCTAAACATTTCTCAGATTACTTTAAAGGCATTCAATCCCGTACCCCAAATAAGACTTTGTGTGAGCCTTTTTATTTTCCTTTTTTTTCCTGTGATGCGAGAAAATGGCGAGAACCGCGGTCCGCGTGGTGGCTGTTATCGTTTTCGCGATTACTTTGAACTCCGCTTCACGGTTTTTCCGTCTAGACATTGACTCGAAGTCGGAGCTTTCTGAGCTCCAAACAGATTCCACTATCTGCTCATTTCCGATTTCCGAATGTGAATCTTAATTGGAAACATTACGAAGCATTTGTTTAAAGGGCATACGATTTACCATCCCTGATATTTCCTTTCCTCTCGCACTGCCCCGTCTTGGAATTCGTGTGAATCTTAAACGGGCTTTTTGTCCGTGAATTTTATATATCCGAATAATGAAACGGACAAATGATAATCCACATCCTCCCCGATGCCAGAGTTATTACTTTGGTTCCGGCAGATTCACCCATTCATGCATAAATCACTTTCGTTTCCTCCTTCCCTCTTTATTTTCCAAGAATGTCTGATAAATTCTGAGTCGTAACTATGATAAGATACATTTCTCGCGGGTATTTCACGGGCTTTCTTTCTTTCTTTTTTCTTTTTCCTCATCCCTCCTTCCTTGTGATGTTCTTTTTCCCTTTTTTTCTTTGTATTTTCTCTCTCGTCTTTTGGCTTTATCTCTTCTTGCTTTGTAGCCATTTTGCTTTATCTCACAAAGAACCTGATTCTCTGAACCCAAGGCACGTTTACCTTTCTTCCTTTTCTTTCTACGTTCTCATTTCGTTTCATTGGTGCCTTTTTTGTCTCTTAAGTCTTAACCCATCCCTGGTTCTCTATTCTTCACCGGTGAGATCCTTTCGAGCTCAGCTCTTAACTCCCCTCACTGAAGCAGAGCGAGAGAGTCGGATTCATATCTGACAGGTCAATTTATTTTATCTTCACTAAAATTAACCAAACACCCACTTTTTCGGTCTTCTTCCCGGCGGACATTTCGGGAGAAACAAAGCTAATCAATCTTTAATGCGTCTACACGCTGTCCTCACCCACTTCACCCTTACATTCTCATTTTACTCCTGGGTCTTACAACGTACAGAAGTGAAGGCTTTGCTAGCTCTGAACATTTTTTCCATCCATTTTTGTTTTTGTTGCTGAAGAATCTCCGACGGATGAATGGAGGAAAAGTGAGGATCCGGTTTCACCCGTTTGTTCTGAGGTGGAATACGACTCGTCTCTGAGCCATCCACGCCGTTTTCAATTCAGTGTCATCCTTGCTAGAAATTGACAAACCTCGAGGCATGAGGCGTGGAGCTAGTCGGTTCTCAACATCCAGGTTACGCGCTAAACAATCCGGACACAAGTTCTACGGTGGTAAATTACTCAACACTCCCCATTTCTGGTTTTTTCTGAGCAAGGAAACAAAACCCATTTTGTACTTGTCGTTATTTGTGTTCTATTATCAATTACTATGCGATAAGAGTTTGCGGATAAAGCTTCTCCCTCGCTATTTTTCTTTTTCCCGTCCAAAGCTTTATTGGCATAAATATCTGTTCCTGAGTGATAGGTTTGGATGGTATTGAGGGAGACTTCGAATTACCGGAGAAATCAGAGAAGGTTAGAAGCTTGAGTGCTGTTGGGAGAGCCTTAACAAGTAACAAAGGAAACAGAATGGGCTGCGATGTCAATGAAAAAGTACACTCACTTCGTGCGCAATCGCCATCCTCGAATCCCATTGCTACAAGCAAGAGATTTAAAATTGCCAAAAGGGTAAGTAATTATAAGCTTATTTTCAATTCGTTGACAGTGTATAAACTATCATCTATCATGCTTTTAATTCTGCATTAAGTGGTTTGACAGTTTTTTGATGACTGCAATGGCGTTGGTCATGCTTCTGTTCCCCGGAAGCTACGCTCGGGTACGTGATTCTTAAATTCAAGATTAAAATTTATCCGTCAAAAATCTCTCTGGTTGCGCCGCCCTTCCGGGAAATTTTATGCATAGCCGGTAATTTTGTTCTACAGTTGAGGCAAACTCTCGAGGTTTGGCTTTTATATTGCGAGGCTCGAGACCCTGCCATGTTTCTTTCTGTCCTACAACGAACACTAACAAGAAACTGCATACTACTTTATATAAATAATTCTTAATTAATTGTGTGTAAGACACTTGTTATCAAAATAATTGTATGTAAGATATTTTCTCAATCTATCTATAGCTGACCCCATCGTCCGTTCAGTAATCAAACTTGCCGTTGGAAGTGTTTTTTCTTCTTTTTTTTTTAAGAAAAATGTTAATTTTGCTTCTTGTTTTCATTTTCAATTACAGCCGTGAAGAAGCGCAATCGTGAATACAGCTTACCTGATTCAGAAAGGGTGAACCATAAGATGAATGGAATAGAATCTCCTGGAAAGGATGGTATAAAGAAAACCAAAGTGAGTATGGTAAGTCGCCTTAGCTGCCAGTTTCCAAACTTAAACTTCGTTGCTTTATCTGATGATTTCTATCTCACCTTTTCTTGGAATTTGCTTTTGTAGCAACAAGGAAGCCCAGACTGGTCCACGAGACAAACAGTATCTGGGCCGATCACAAAAGATGAGGAAGAGGTTGTAGAGACCTTGTATGCTCTGGCTGGAATGTTCCTCAACAATGACTCGAATGAGAGGCTCAAGTTAGAGGGCGATTCTTCACCAGAGAACTCAAATTTGCAGGACTTAGATAAAAGTACTAACGATGCTTTTGAAGGTTCTTCTCATCCTCATCCGTTCAATAAATATTCTCTTCCTCGTTATCCTTATTGTGGCTGTCTATCCATGACTTTTATTTATTTCGATTTTCGGTTATATATTGCAGACTCGGCAAGTGCTCAGGATTCTCGTCCTTTTTATGCAGAAAGATCATCCGGAGACGCAGCAATTACAAATTCTTCAGTCGAAAGCATTGATAGAAAGCAGCCTGATTCCATTGAGAATGCCGAAATGATGACATCTGATAACGTTGCTCCTAATTTAAATCTGGCCTCGATGCCTATGTTACTTAGGAGTGAAAATGGCAACGAAGCTGCATTAGATGACTCTGAGTTAACTCTGGCAGTGGGGTAGGAAGGCTTTCCTCTGCATTTTTTAAATGTCATCCTCGGCAGATCATTTTGCATACATCACGTATTATCTCATCATGCTGCAGATTTAGTAGGCCAGGACAATCACCGATTTCACGTAATGGAAGGAAACCAGAAACGGTGGGCATTTGAACTTTACTGTTTACACTTGAACTCTTCAAGTTTTAACAACTCGCGGATTTTTTCCCTTTTCCCTCCCCAAAAAAAGAAAAGAAAGAGAAAAAGAAAAGGAGGGGATAAGAAAAAGGAAAAGACAATATATATATATATATCCAAGAAAAATTTTTCCCTTCTAGAATATATAACTCTACTAAAGAAACCCTTGGAGATTTAGGTTTAAAAGGGATGATAATGAAGTTTTGCCCCCTATAGTTGGGAGAGGGAAAAAAAATTGCCCCCTGTAAAAAATATTTCTAGACCCGTATGTTGACAGCTCACGCTAATACTATTGGTGTTATTGGATTAAATTTCAGGCGGGAGCTATTGAATCTAAACAAGCACATCATCATATGATGAAGGACCAAAATAATTACGGTATGCTTCCCACGGGCCCATAGTATCCTAATTTAATAGTGGTGAATTTTCTTATTTTTGGCGAGTGAAATCAATTTGGTCCATTCCTTATTGACTACTATTGTTTCTTATCAGACGGTCCAACATTGTGGCCGGGATTAGCACTTGCAGCCGGGAACCAGGCTTCTTATTTACAGTAATTTTCTTTCAGTCTTGTTCTTATTATTATTCTTCCCTTACTCTTCTTCAGGTGGTCTAAATCTGATTAATTTTACTTCTTAAGGTCTTCTGCTGTTAAGGCTCCAGTTTGGTCCGATTGTGCCTCTAAACAGGACTTGACACAAGGAGGTTCTTCTGATGTAAAGGTACTCAAATTTAGGATTATGTTCATTTTCTTATTAGTTTGCTCTTTTGCTTGAATTAGCTTTGAAGGTCAACTTATTGATGACAATAGTTAATCATGCAGATTTCCGAAGTTGTCATTCATAAAAAGTTATTGAAGAGGTGCGCAACACATGTTTACATTAGTAACTTCATTCGGAGTTTACAAATGCCAAATAGCAAGGAAGCGCTGCAGCAAGCTAATCATTCTGCCCGACTGAGAGCCGGTGAAGGATCGATGCATGGGGATCTAATGGAAGCACAAAACTGGAACAGGGCAAGAAGTCGAATAATTTCATCACCTCGATCAATTCATTCTGACACTGCGAACGACTCGCATGACAATAAGAACAGTATTCTTCACCAGACATGCAATTACCATGAAGCTCTAACACCTGATGTTCATGGTCCTCCAAAGCAAGTAAGCATAAGATTACCCTTTGTAATGGCGCCTCCCGTTGACCCCTTTTTCTTATATCTTGATGAAAGTTCATGTTGTGCAGGGTTTGGACTTATTGTCCTTTTCAGCTGGTGGAAACGGGTTAAAGGTGAATAGTAAACTTGATAAAGGTGAAGGAAGTAGGTTGGAACCATTGCCAAAATTGCAGGTGTCTTATTTTCAGCCATTAGCACAGCTGCAAGGACTCATGCGATTTCCTGTGCCTCAGAGTCAATATGCTTCCCCTTCTTACCTTACTCATCAGATTTCAGCTGCGGGACCGCAGGTTTTAATCTTTCTTTGTTTCTAGATTACGGAGAACGTGATTTTTGTACATTACGTGAATGAGATGGCTAAAGTTTATTAAAATATTATTGAGAAAATATAATTTTAAATCCCTACACTTTACTCATGTTTTGTTGTGGGTCCTTGCACTTCTTTTAGGTGTTCTAAGTTCCTAAATGAATAAAATGCAGGGACTTTGGAAAGATTCATTTAGAGATTTAGAACATCGAAAAATAAAAGTTTAGGATCCTATAATACCGAAAAAAAAGTATAAAGACTTACAGCAAAACGCAAGTAAAGTATAAAAATTTACAATTATGTTTTTCAAATATTATCTAATAATAAACTGCAATTTGTGCCTATTACACCAACATTATGTTCCTCATTTATACTTTTATATACCGTAGGTTCTACCTCACTATTATGGCAACTCGTTATGGGTTGGTGGTAACGGTTCGACGGCCTCAAATAATAAACACCAGCAGCAAAACTTTTGGGCTGTGCAAGTAGCAGCTCAAGGACAAGGTAGATCTGGTGTAAATTGCAATATGATGAGGCCTCAATATCCTAAATGGGAAGCTGGAAGACAAGGCAGCGTAGTGAATCCAGCCATGATTCCCCAATCCTCTGCTCCCCTTCAAGTAATTGGATCGAAGTTCGCTTCAATCTCAGAGCAGCAACAGCAGTTCATTTCCCATGCTTCATCACTGCCCCAAACCAGGACAAATGGTTTAAATTTTCTGGTCCCTCCTGCGTGTGAGCTTAGTAGAGGTAGGTTCCCTAGTAGTCGTGGCACACCACTTCAATTGCTATGTGATGAGCGAATCTGAGAAGAACCATTTTCACGGAAGGTATACAGTACGCTGTTTCCTTCCTTGTTTCTTCAAGTTAGGTTTTAGTGCTGCATTTTTCATGCCAATCGCTCGGCATAGATTGGAAGTGGTTCGTTGAGAGGTATCCCAATTTGTGTTTCTGGCCTGACTAATCAGGATAGCAGATGAGAATATAGGAAAGGCTAGATTGAATAGGAAAAGCGTGCTTATAGCGGTCGCTAAGTTCTTGCGAGGCCCCACTCTTCGCAAAGAATTAATCCTAGCTTTGATTATTTTAATCTTAACAGTTATGTTACGTGCTTATCAATCTTTCTGAACTATCATGGGCGAGGGAAAGAAATGTCATGAACATCATACGGTCATTTACTTGGAGGGAATGTAAACGACCCATAAAAATAAAAAACCGTGATTTGCGCTTGGTTTTAGTCCTGTTACACATCATGATTCAGCCTAATTAAGATCACCACGTTTGTAAAAATTCATTAAAAGGCTATAGCCGAGCCTACAATCGAGAGAATGGAAATAATGGCTTTCCTGGTAAATACAAATGTTGAATCAAATTTTACCAAATCTCTGACCTCGTGTTTCTTGGCTTCTCTTTACTTCTCAATAAATAACCGAAAAAAGTCATTTAATTATTATAGTTTTAATTTAATAATAATTCAATTTTTGAACTTTTACTAACTGTAACTCAATGCATAAACTTTGAGTTAAAGAACCTTAGTTCCTGTAATTTTAAACATTTAAAATATTGATTCATATATTTAGAAAATCAAATTGTATAGATCTAAATTATTTCAAAATTTAGAACTAATATTTTAAATTACAAAAACTTTTAAATTTTAAAATAATTTTAATATTCATAATCTTTCTCTAAAATATAAGGAATGAATTATAGTAAATCAAAATTCAGAGATTATATTACAACTTATAACCAAATTAAAATAATAAGGATTGAGTTATAATAAATAAAAATTTTAGGAACCAAATAATTATTTTTTTCTAAAAAAAGAGATACATCATATTTTACAATTTTCATATTAAAAAAGACAAAATTAGAACCACAGGCGTTTGGTAAAAGTTTAGAAGGTATGTTTGCATTTCAGTTACATTAAAAAAAAATGAAGAGAAGCTCCGGTCAAAAATATTGTGAGAAGTTAAACAGTGTAAAGTGATTCAGATTTTTCACAATTATTATAAAAATTGTAAATATGTCAGTCTCAAAATTATCAGATTTGGAGATCCGGCAGATAAAGTGATACCAACGGGAGAGGAAAAAAAAAAAAAAAAGGTTCCAAAACTTTGCTCTGGCTGCAACTTTATGACAAGAATTATGAAGAATGCTTGAAATCTAGGGGCCACTCTTTAAATGTTCTGCCAAGAAAAAGTGCGATGGGTACACGTCGGGGATGTTGATCTCAGTGTAAGGGAGGCGGAGTTGTGGTCATGAATCAGATTCTATTTGATCTGTCAGATTTAGATAAACACATACATTGCGAGAGGCCTGAAGGCCGTTACTTAAGAAATATCCGAAAAAAATGAATTAAAAAAATAAAAATAAAACAATAAAAAGGGACAACAAATTATATTCATAAAAAAAAGTGATAATTTAATTTATAAAATTATAAATCATAATATATAAAATTTTTTAAGAGTATAATGATCTTTACATTTATAATATATATATCATATTTATTATAAAAGAAAAAGATAATTTAATTTTTTTATATTAAATTTTTAATTTATTTCATTTTATACATTTTTAATAATCAATGGAGACCTTAAAAACAACGCAGTAAGTGAGAAATCATTTAGTTGAAAGGGACAATTAAATTGAAAGGAGAACAACAGAATCTATCATTTTATCAAGCAAGAACCGTATTTCGTGTCCCCGTAGATTAGGAAGCCGCTGATTTAAACACTTGGCGTTAATGCAAGGGAGGAATTTTTAAAAATTAAAATTCGAACCACCTTGTAAACATTATAGTGCCTATTTAAAGATTTACTAAGTAATAATTTATTAAATTCTGAATTACGACTTGCAAATATTTAATAAAAGCCAAAATACATAAAATTCTCATATTCTTTAAAGCAGTTGCATAACTCTTTTGTTTTTAAAAGTTTAAAATTAACCCCTAATATTTAATTTTATTTTTTAAAACTTCCTACTTTGATTCACTGTTATGTTATTAATATAGGTATTGCCATGTGAGATTAATTTAATACACATGATACATGACATAAAAAATATTTTTATTATTTTTAACACAATTTAAACAGAGATAAAATTATAATTTTTACTTCTAACATGCATGAAGATGTTCTCGATTTTTTAATTAAGGGACTCTATTCCCATTGTTCACAAGTAACACAAATTAGAAGAAAAATTATAATTTTATTATTCTTTGTTAATTAAAGCAGCCCTTAATATTAAACAAATTAAAGGAAATTATTTAAAAGCTGTCATTAATAAAAATCATATAAATAAAAATGTATCTTTCAATACAATAAAACCATGCACCAATATTGATAACCAAAAAAAAAAGATAAAACTAATAGAGAAATAAATATTTAAAAATTAAATATTGTTTTGCTATCAATGCCTCAATTGTCAAAAAATATAAGAAATTAATTATAAATAATTCTATAATATAATACTTTGTTTAATTAAATACATTCATGGACATAATTCATGGAATTGAATCCTTTACCTTTTGCAACCCTGAAAGAATTTATTTTTAAGCGCCAATATGTGACAGCAAGATGGAAAAGGGCAAGCAAGGTTTTTTTTTTTAAAAAAAAGAAGATATCTTAACCCTTATAAAAATAACTTAATTTTTATATATTTATTATTTTGTCACATAAGATGCCACGCAACTTTCTATGTGGCTTTTCTTAATTTAACATGGCAAACTTTGCTAATAATGTAACGGGGTAACTAACAGTAGGAGGTTTTTGGGAAAAAAAATATTAGAGGGATTAATTTTAAATAATTAAAGATAAAGAGATCATATATAATTATCTCAAAATTCAAGAGGATTAGCCTTTATTAAATAAGTTATCAATATCTAAATGTTACAATGACAATAACAAGTCTTGTCTCATTAAGTGAGATTGGTTATTTGAACTGCACAATGCTAACGTGCTTTATCAGCAATCAAGCCTTTGAATATATTATTAATCAAGAGGTCTCATTCAATAAATTATATAATTATTCTCTTTGATCTTTCTTTATCCCTCTTTATAGGATCCAAAACTATCTATTTTAGTGTCTTCATGATGTCCCTCACGGCCTTCTATGTACTTTTGAATATCTAAAGATTTTTTTAAAAAATTGTCAAAATCTATACTACAACTTTTAAATATTTAAAGAACTAACTTGTCAAAAATACATTTAAATATAAAGCTTGAGTTATGGGACAAAAAACAAATTTATTTATAAATTTCAAATGCATTCGTTGAGTTATAATTTTTTGAAAAAACCACTACTACAATAAAAATGATGTTATTTTAGCCCATAAAATGTGACTGACATTTAAAGTCTCTCAATAAATAATGATTATATAACCGTCACTTAAAATATAATTTTAAAATTTTAAAGCTGTCAAGGAAAAAAATAAGTGACATATAAATATTTTATCTATCATTTATTGTCACTATAAATGACAAGTAAATGATTTATTCATCATTTATTTTGGTTTTAAATGATGGGTAAATGATTCACAAGTCATTTGGTTTACCTGTCATATATTATAAGATAAATGATAGTTATTTAAATAACTGTAATTTATTATATATTTTTTTAATATGGATGTTGTTACTTATATTAGCCCTCTGCAAAAAGAAATTAAAATAATAGCAAACATCCATTCCAACATTCAGAGATTTGAATATCAATAGATTTATTGTATTTAATTGCAACATTACTTGATAAACATCTCTTACACTAATCTATTAAATAAACAAGTATAATTTTATAAAGTAAACTATCTATTAAAATTATAAACATCTTAGCTACTTCTTTTAGGTATTTTTATTGATCTTCTTTGTGAGAGGTTCATACTTGAAACACATGCTAACATCATTTTTTTAATTACCTCATTGATTTTTGCATTCTTGAATTATTTGATGTAAGAATCATCATAACACTACAATATATTATAAGATAAATGACAGTTATTTAAATAACTGTAATTTATTATATATTTTTTTAATATGGATGCTGTTACTTATATCAGCCCTTTGTAAAAAAAAATAAAATAATAGCAGACATCCATTCCAACATTCAGAGATTTGAATATCAATAGATTTATTGTATTTAATTGCAAAATTACTAGATGAACATCTCTTATACTAATCTATTAAATAAACAAGTGTAATTTTATAAAGTAAACCATCTATTAAAATTATAAACATCTTAGTTACTTCTTTTAGGTATTTTTATTGATCTTCTTTGTGAGAGGTTCAGACTTGAAACATATGCTAACATCATTTTTTTAATTACCTCATTGATTTTTGCATTCTTGAATTATTCAATGTAAGAATCATTATAACACTACAATATATAAGTGATATACTATAAATTAATTTTAATACATTAATTTGTTTTTGTGGTTGAAAAGCAAATATTGTTTTAACATACCATCTCAGGAAGTATATCCTCATTGTGGATAATGATATTCTTTGTGAACCTTACGACGCAAAAGCCACTCCAAATTATTTTTCACTTGTCTTGGACCCTATAAATTTAAGAACAGATGAATATATATTAATGTATTTTATTTCAATTCAATAAACGATTTCAATTATCTTTATTATACTTCAAGTGGAGACTGCATCAAAATTTGTAAAGGACCTTAGAATTAATTGTTTTGTATTTGTGCGGTATAACACAATCGTCTTAATAAAACATTAAAAAATACGTCAATATGAAATTTAAATAAATAAATAAATATATAAAATACTTTATGCACTTACATATTAATTAACTCTAATAAAAATTATTGATTCCATGGTTGATTCTCCAAGAGAATCAAAATAATATACTTTTGAAGTGTTGCCAAATGGTTCGATGGTGATCAACATCCAATGATCCCTAGTAGTATTAACAAGTGTTAAAAAATTATAATTAATTAATTAAATTAAAAATAAAAAATTATTACGATAAGTGAGAAGTACGTTACCCTTAAAAGTATGGTATTATGAATAATATTTTCTTTTGAGCCTTTGCTTTGAAATTTTTACTTAATGACTTTGCTTGTTCTAAAATCTTATCCATTTTAATTAAAGCATATGCACCAACCTCATGAAAACTAATAAAGACAAACTTTGTTTGTAGATCGAAAGGAACAATAGATTTTTTTTTATAAGCACCTACCATAAATATTTTAAATGAATTAGTTTATATTTAAAATACTAACTATTCATATATGAAAAAATTACCATGTATAAAAGCTAAGAATAGTGAGGCTAGTCATATCATGTTAAAACACTTCAATAATATCAAGTGAAAGCATATTATAGTAGTCTTCACCATATATACCAGCCTCGAATGGGATTTGTTATGAAATTTGGCACACTAATACATTTCAATATATAATTTTGAGCGATAAAACTACTCTGATGAAATAAGGCACATAATTTAAATTAAAAATTATTCAAATAAATTGTTGAAAATTTTGTAGAAACATACAATCATCATAAATATCTCATTTTGATCATTCATATTTTCATCCTAACAATCATTCTAAGGCTACCTATATCATCTATTAACATTCTCAAGTCAATAACACATTAAACATTAACAATTTTTGACACTCCACTATGCCAAAATAAACAACAAATGAGTAGAAATTTATGTAAAAAAAATTAACTAATAAAATAATTCACAATATTAAATAAATCATTTTCATACCCTAGAAATCTAAGGATATTGGAAGAAAATGAAAAAAAAAAAAAGAAATCACACCTTAAAGCAAAGAGGTTGAAAACCCAAAGAGGAAGAAACCAAGACGGCAAATGACAGTGAACAACAATATAAGAGGTAGCGGCTTTACGTCAGATTAGTCCACGACAATTGACGATAGCAATAGAGGAAGATTGTGGGAATTCTTTTGATTTCGTTTGCAAGAAGAGAAGAGAAGAGCAAAGGAAGATAATCAATCTCAAACTTAAAAATGAACAAGAGCGAGTTATTACAAGAGAATAAATGATGGGTGTTTAAATACCCATCATTTATTTCATAATATATGATGGATGTTTGAAACACCTGACACCAACACTCGTCGTTTAAAGCTTAGTCATATATTATTAAATTATTTTTTGTTTTTTGAAAAGCTGAATTTTAAACTTTATCTAATGGGTTTTTAAAATAACTGTCATTTATTTAAAAATAATAAATGATAGTTATTTAAAAAATTTATTATTTATTTTCTTATTATCACCTACCTCTCTTGTACATGATGTATTTTTTTTAATCATCATTTTTTATAGCATCTTATATACAAATATTTATAGCAGTGAACATTTAAAAATTTTAAAAGAAGACTTATAAATTATTATATTATTTTAATTTACAAGCCAACTGATATTAAAAAAAAATTCACTTATAAATATTCACCGGCTGCTCATAATTAATACCCTACTGTCCTTCGATCAAAGTTGTCTCCAAAGTCTAACGGCAGGTTATTTATGAGCAATTTTTTAAAAAAAAAAATTCTGTGTGTAGCATGAAGAATCAAAGTGAAACTAAATTTAACGAGAAAATATTTGGAATTTTACTTAGCAAGTTAGCATAAAGTTGCCTTATCAGTGAATAAATTTACACGAGATGCTCGCGGCGTCCTGATCCTCCCTCCCTCCTTGCACTTCTCTTTGGTTTTTTTGGTCGGAGCATCCATGACTATCAAATCCAGACACGCAGAAGAAGTAATATTGGAGGGTTGCAAGCGTTCCGACAGTGATAGAGGAGACAGGGAGCAAGAGAGGAAAGTTTGTTAATGGCGCATTGTCTGTCTTCTCTCCAGGAAGAGCTTGAATTCACAAAGCAATCTCCAGCACCTGATGAACTACTGGATTAATTCCCAGATCGAACATGTCGAGTTCGTTCAAAGTTTTGAAATCAAAACCAGCTTCCGCAGCCGGACAAGGGACAAGAAACAATAATAATATGGAGCTCCAAAAGAAGAGCCACGCCACGTTTTCGGATCCACCCTCGGTGCTGCCTCACTTAGGAGGAAGAAAAAAAAGCCTCTGATTCCTTTGGTCGGAGCTCTGTTTTCTAGGAAAAAAGTGAAAAACGAGTTCGAACTTGAGATGAGATGTAGACTGTAAATTAGACGAGTACGTGCTGATTGTGTCGGATTTTGGCCTAATTAAGCATGGTGCCATCTCGAATAATATTACTCTCGTCCAAGTTTGTGATGTGCTTTGGTCTGATGCTATTTGTCGGATTATTGTGTGATAAGCGTGATAGATTTTAATTATTGATCATTTTTACTTTCTTGCTTAATTAATTTTCCGACCTTCCCTTATATATATATGTGCGTGTGAGATTTTCTTTCCCCGACAGTTAACGACTTCTATAATATATATGTAGAGCTCCAAATTAGATCCCATCATTCGCCTACACAAACGAAGTGCGCGTATGGTGGTACATGGAGAAGAAGCAATTGTTTTATATGTAGATGTACTTAATTACAGACAACGAACTCCATTGATCAATCGCCAGCAACAAACTTTTGAAAATCAAGTACGTAAGCAGATCTGGCTGGAGAACGAAAGAAGCATAGCTTTGAACAAAAAAAAAAAAAAACAGGGAGAAGAAAAGAAATCGCAGTGGCCAATGAATTGAAGTATCTTAATTGAGCAGGCCCATATACATGCAACATATGCCATGCGCTCAAAAGAAAAACAAAAGAAGTGAAGCATGACTGGAATAAAGCAGTATGAATATGCCCGTAGTCAGACAACATCGGAGTTCCGAGGATCCAAAAAGCCATCTTGCGCGGACTTATTGAAGAACTCAATGCAATCAGCAATGGCCTCGTTGTAGTGAGAGTAAGACGAATAATAGGAGCTGCATGAGGTCTTGGGTGGCTCAAAACGATCTGAGTTTCTATGCCTTGAAGAAGTAGAGGATGACGACGACGACGACGACGACGCAGAAGCCGAAGGAACAGAGAAGATGAGGCGCATGAGGATCTTGCGGAAGCGATGAAACAGCTTCATGGCCGACCAGTTGAACTTGGAAGACGAGGAAGCACTTGTTGGTCGAGGGAGCGCTTCACTTCCTCTTACTTGTATCACGAAGCTCTCAGTCTGAGGATTGTGCATTGTATCTGAATGTGTGTTTCAACTTTCAAGTCTGTGTTGCTATGATGAATCTGGTTTGGTTCTCAAGGGCACATAAAAAGAACCAGCTTTTTCAAACCCTACGATTTTATTCCAAAAGAGATTACTACTAAAAGACTCCCATGTGTCCGAATCATTGGCATGCCCAGCTCTTGTCTTCCCAACTTAACTGGTTCAAAATAAAATAATCTATCCCTTCAGGAGATTAGCTAGTAATTAACTTCCCTCTGTTTAATCCGTCGCCAGATTATTAAGCGCCGAATTGTGAGGATGACTAATTAATAATAACTTTCCATGAAACTGAAGTTTAGGATGAGATAATTAAAAGAGGGAGTGAATGATGATCGGCCCACACTGCCCTATATATAAAACCTCGACGAATCCCCGAAAATCATTATTCGTGACCTTTGTGGAACCCATGGAATGTCTGTCTTCGCAATTTTTGTTTTATATTTTTCACATGATTTTCTCTTTTCACATACAAGGAGTAAGGAGAACGAATTAGGAGCCAAGTGACGACTGGCACGTGGCTGATCGCATCCTTAATATCTATGTATCTTCGCTGTTGTTGTTTTTTTTTTTTTTTGACCAAATATCTTCGCTGTTGTTGACTGTAAAGAATAATTTGGTTTTATAGGAAGGCATAATTTTGAGCCACTCTTGTCCTACGATTGGCAATGCCTTGGTGTGATTGCACGAAGAATGGAGCAGTGAGCAGCCAAAGAGATTCAGTGGTCCAAAGGGTTCAAACTGGATCAGTCAAAGGCTCGAAACAAAGCTGTACGAGGACATACTCTGTAGTCCTATGATGAGTTTAACTAATGATTAAGGTGGAGGTTAATTAATTAGTTAAACGCCGTGATGGAAGAGGCATGAGAATGAAAGGGAAGGGTTCAGTTGTTTGAGGTAATCATGGTGTGCAAGACATTATAATTGTGTCTCGTACTTGCTTCCTCTGAACTACGATGTTGTCACTTCCAGCATTATTTCATTAATTAGGTTTAAAATCTTTTAAACCCCTTTTCCTTTTAATTTCGTATTATAGGTGAAGGCATAAAAATGGAATAAAACCATGTAGTGTCATTCAAGCTAAAGTTAACGTAATGAACAGAAATCATTACTAAAAGTTAATGTAATGAACAGAAATCATTACTTCACCGATACTGTGTTGTCGTCACGTTTATTAATTATTTCGTGCTGGGACATCGAGGATTAAAAAAAAGTAAATAACATAATTCTTGCCAAACATCAGCCCTGTCAGGGCATCACGTACTTGTCTTCTGTATTTTACCGTGTTATATTATGTTATCTTTTATTTAAAAATAAACTATTTTGAATTGCTCACAAGTTAAGCCCTGATTGATATCATTAAATTAGAAAGAAAGAAATGGAATTAGAATAGAGCCAGTAATTAGGGTGGGTCATGTTTATTCCAATCAAGCTTAAAATATCCTATCATTTTAAAAAAATCCATATAATCAAGCTCAATTTTGACTTTTTTTGACCAGATTCGGGTTCGCTCATCAAGCTTGGCCAAAATTACCAACCTTATATACATATGGAGATAGAAATTCTAGCTGTTAGGCTTAATTTGGATCAAACTTACAGTATCTTATTCTTTTAAAAAAGTTTATACAGCCAAGCTCGACCTTAACTTTTTTCAAACGAGTTCATGATGGCCCGTCAGGCTTGGCTCAAATTATCGACTCTAAATTGGAAACAAAATCCTAATGGAAGTGCGTTTGGTTGGTAAGAGTTGTGATTCTCAAGGAATCCAATTCTTTCACATAATCTATGGAATCAGATGAATTTCATGGAATTCTCCTTCAATCCTCAATATCCTCCACTTCAATGCTCCAATCTCGACATCACACACCTCTGTCTTCCTATTACCCTTCTGTTTCCCCAGTGACTCCCCCTCCACTACTCCTTCTCTCCGACAGTCAATGCAAGGCAGCATTATCTCCCTTATTGCGTGTGACAATCTCTATCACAGAGATCGTCAATAACAACACCAATAAAAAAGATGATGTCGCTTTAACCTAATGGTCGCAACCTGATACGATTCAAGGACAATAGTTGGTAGTGAAGGAGCCATTGCCATGCATTCTCGCCGATGCTAAAGGACCCATCATCATGCGGTCTCGCCAACGCTTAAATACCCATCACTTTACATTCTTGTTGACGTTGAAGGATCCATCAAAGAAGATGCAACAAGTTGAGATTGAAGAAGATGCAACAATAAATGAAATAGGTGGAGATGAGTTTTTTTTTAAAGGGTACCATGGTCTTTTACTATTTTAAATACATATATTTATTAAAATTATATCAAGATTTCATCTTCATACTAAACACATTTTTAAAACCTAATTTTATTCCAATTCTAATTTCAATTGTGAAGTTGATTCCATAAAAAAAAATTTCATCATACTAAACGAGACCTTAGTTAAGGTATGAAAAAATTTAAACTATTTCCCTTTTTAAATTTCTCAAACAATAAGTAAATTAAATTTATAAGCAACTCTAAGGGGTGACTTATAACCACTTATAATAATAAATATCACTAAAAGACAAATCATGGGCTCTTAATAATTTAAAAGCTAAATGGATAAAACATATTCAAATATTTTCTTCTCATTTTATCCAACTATTAGATTTATTCCCCCTCAATGCACAAGATATTTTAATATTCAAGAGAAAAAAAATAAAATAAAACATATAAATTTAAAAAATTGTGAACTCAAAATGTCATATTTTATTAGTTTACATAAGGATTAAAGGGTATTTTTGCCCCAAAATTATTCTCTTAGAAGTGCCTAATATCGTAAACTTTTATATAGTGTAATTTCTTTCTTCAACTTTTTAAAATTGTGCATTGAGCAACATGTCATTGTAAAATTTAATTTTAACAATTGGTTGACTGAAAAATTATTAAAAAAATAACCAAAAAAATTATAAAAAGGGATCCATAAAGTTTTAAATAAGTGTCACATAAGAAAATTAATATCAATTTAAGTTTCCAGAATAGTGATTGGTCATAATCATATTTTGGCATTTTATACGAATAAAAAATAACATTTATATTATATAATTTATATGTAATTTAGAGAACTTAATTAATATTAATTTTTTATGAGGTACTTATGTGTAATATCATGGGTCTTTTCTTATAATTTTTGAAGCCATTTCTTATAAATTTAATGTCAATTAACAGCCAAAATCAATCTTTTTAATGCATGGTGTTTAATGCATCATTTTTAAAAATTTAATGAAAAAAGTGCATAACATGTAAATTTATGATATGTAATGTTTTTAAGTGAATAGTTAAGGGGCAAATATGCCCTTTAGACCTTTATATAAATAATAATTTATTTTAGAATAAAATTGTTTTGCCCATACATACTAAATATAAAAATAATTTATCTTAAAATTTGTTATCCCCAAGGGTACATTTGCACTTTTATTTTGACTAGTATGTGAAAAAGTTTGACATTTAGTTAAAAAAATAAATTTCCTACTAAGTTCTCCTCCCATAATTATCAATATTTTTTTTCTTGAATTTATTATTGACTGTCTTGGGTAAATTAATAACTTATTTTCTTTAATAATTTGTTGAACCATGCATGATCATGGGAGAAATAAAATAAATATTATAATAAACTCTATACTATAATTTATGTCATAATAGTTTTTGTAAATTACAATTATAATCAAAATTAAAAAATAAATAAAAATTATTTATATATTAAATAATACTTTTAAACTAAGTAAATAGCTTAATCAACATTATAATACTCCCTCTTGTCTTGTATATAAGCCATTTTTAGTTACTTCACAGTAGAAGATGCAATTAAATAATTAGTTTTGTCTAAAAAAATGAATTTATATTAAATATGTCATATTTAAAAGATATTTTTTTTATATTTAACCTTTACCTCTATTTGAAAAAAAATATTAAAGGATAAAATTAAAAAAATAATTAATGATCCATTTTTTGTGCAAAAAAAAACTTATCAAATAGATTATCAATTATTTATAGAAAGAGATTCATGTGTAGTGTAAAATCTCTCTCTATTAAATATAATTAACTAATAAAGTTCATAGAATCAAAAGATTAACTCTCAAGTAGATTACCAAATTTTAGTTTTCAAATTAAAAGATCTTGAGTTGTCATAGTCAAAATACATTTAAATCAATCATAATTTTTATATTCGAGTAAAAGCAAGTTAAGGAAGTATGGAATACCTTAAAGGAGTAAAGAGATCAAACTCAGTTGAAAAATAACATATTTACTGTGAGATAAGGCAATGAGCCTCAGCTTGTGCACACTACGTCGTGGCATGTTGCTCTTTGTATCATGTGCCGCAACTCAAGAGCCATGCACCATGGCATGTTGCACATTTATGACAACAAAATTGGAAAACTTTCAACGCGCCTTGATTCTCCGTCCAACATTTGAATGACATGATCTAGGTATCTACAAAAAGTTCTTTTCATAAACAAAAAGGGTATCCGAAACCTATAATAAGTGTTAAAAGTTATTCCTAACACCCAGACCATACTCATTGAACCTAGGAATATCAATACAATAAGTTATTCACACTTAAAGAATATTATAATGCAAAATCACTCATCAACCCCTTTTTGCCAAAAATAAAAGGGGGAGGAAATTTCATTGCAATTATTTAAGTCAATCATGACATGTTCAAAATATCATTTCTATACTTGTACTAATATTTTGACTCTATCAAAAATTCTATTTCATCATACATAATTATTCAAGACTTAAAATACAATTCAGTTAATCATAACAACAAAATAGTGCTAGTGCAACGATATGCAATTTAGAATTGGCAATAATATTCTATTCACAAAACACATGTAACTTAGAGGCATCTTGTAGGAATGAACTAACTCTTAACCTCTTGAGCCTTCTCCCTCTCTACACTAAAGCTATAGAGCTTGTAAAGTGTTAAATTGAAGGAGGTGAGTCTAGCCACTTAGTAACTAAAATAAAACCTATCATATACAATCATATATCAATTGTAGACAAACATATTCATATCAAACTAAGTTTTTAATAAATATTTCATATTAACTCATTTTCATCTCAAATACATTAGGTACATTGTCATAAGACATTAAAACATGTGACCATGACCCGATACCCACACAACTTGCCATATTGCAATCATGAGACATGTCATAAATTTACAAAGGCAATAATCAACCAGCTTTATATCCTCCTTATTTTCTCTGACTAGAATCATGGACTATAATATTGAATAAGACTTCATCCGTGTGATTGGACTACTCCACATGCCCCACATAGTGTCTCTCCATGCTCCTCCTCAACTTCCACTTCTAGACCCTCCTTATCTTCATCCTTTGATTGCATTGCACGTGATCGGACTATTCAAGCTCACAGATTATGAGGTATGACCTAGCTAAATATTGAATAAGACTCCGTTAGTATGACTAGACTCCTCCGACTAAAATTGTAGGTTATAATATTGAATAAGGCTCCATCTGTGTGACTGGACTACTCCACATGCCCCACATAGTGTCTCTCCATGCTCCTCCCCATCTTCTAGTTCCAAACCCTCCTCATCTTCATCCTTTGATTGCATTGTACGTGATCGGACTACTCAAGCTTATAGATTGTGAGGTGTGACCCGGTTAAAATCACAATACTCACTCTCAGACTGGGGCTTCCCTTACTTTCAAATATTTAGAGTGTCGTACTCCCTAAGCTATTGTCCTCGATAAACTATTAGAGAAAGTTAGGTTTTAGTCCTTCAACAAATTATGGAACAATTCCTCGATAAACTGTAAGATGAGAATATACCCCTGTGCACTGAAGGGTAGCCTAAATACCACATGAATTTTTCTCCACTCTCAATTCATAGGTGAACTTTCACCCATTGATCATGCCAAAGACGATGCTCACTCAATTTCATATATTCATTTATTATCATTACAATTACATATTAGGCCCACGATCATGAGCTACCCAAGTAAGCATCGAGTTTTATTTCCACTTATATCACACAAACACGTCATTTTTAACCTCTTATACTCATCTTTCTCATACCATCACTAATTACTCATTCAAAACACAATATAAAGTGACTTTCATTTTAAACATCACATTTGCTATTATGAAACTCATTTCGCAATCACTTTTACGTGTTTAATACACATCAAGTGATCATGTAAACACAAAATTTTATTGTACGCTAAACTCATTACAAGTCAAAATTCACAAACTAAACACATAAATTACATCATAAAGCAATTTACATAAAACTACCTAAAGTAGAATTTCTTTAGTTACCTCAAACTTTTAAGAGGTCAAAGGTGTGTTACTCAATTTTAAGCTTTCAAGTTTGATTTTTCAAGCCTCAATGATATTCTAAGAGTTCAATCTATAATCAATCAAACTAGATTTCATCAACAATGTCAATCATACACAATTATCAACTCATTTTCCATTTCTAGCTCATCCAATGCCCACATTACTTACATTTGGGTCTACTTATTGGGTTTATTAACTATCTTTAACGTCATATAATTTCATTGAATATCCACATTGCCATTAATACCTCAACAACCATAATAATTAATTTAATGTCCATTTTTCAACATTTATAGAACTTACTATGCAACAATCACTAAAATCATTAATACTAAATTTAAATATTCTAAACAACTTTTATTAATTCCATTTAAGTCAACATATTTGAACTCATAACCTATATCGGTTGAAATTATTATCCTCATTCAAACCCTAACTCAAACCCTTAAAAAAGTGAAAGAGAAAAGGAAAAAATGGGTTTAAAAATCTTATCTTAGCTTATTTTTACAAAATTTGCACCGTGCACCGCGGTGCTTGTCCCCACGCGCCATGGCATGCACTACAAAGAAGACAGTCTCTCATTTTATGGCCTTGTGTGCTGCAGCGCACCACGGCGCAACATATGGCACATAGACTTTTCTATTTGTTTATCTCTACTTTTTGATTGCTAAGTGACCCAGTTTCACTTTGAACTTAAATTATATTTAAAATTTTAACTAAAAATATTTATTATTCTTCTCTAACCACACACCACGTAAATCATATTAATGATGCTTAATTACTTAATTATTGGAGGTTAAATTTTTGAGATATTATATATATGATTATTGGTAATATTATTTATCAATTACAAATGTAGCATGACAGAAGACCCTATTAAACTAAGAGATGTTTAAGAAATACGCATGAAAAACAAGTTTTGTTTTTAAAATTTATTATTTTATGCCTTCAAAAGGTGTCCTTAATCGTTGATTAGATTAGCATAGGTCAAATACTTGTTATACCGGAGCTCATGCCAAAAAAAAAAGTTTTATAAATGAAAATTTAAAATTTATGTGTTATCTATAAATTAAAATTTAAATAACACCTTGTCTTATTTTGAATATTTTTGTCTATGTACACATTAAAAATATAAATAACATATCACATGCATATTAAAATAAAATTACATATGAGAAATGTGTTACTCTATGGATGTTAAAATTATAAAGAATAATTTATTATTCTAAGATGTGTTATTTACTTTTAAATTAAAATTAAAATAATAAAAAATTTGTCATATAAATTGTTATTTTGCTTTGTATTCTATTCTACTCTTTATTATCTTGTACATTTAAAAATATAATCGACATATGATAAGTTTCTCACGTATCATTTTTACTATAAACCACATATGATCCTTCGACATGCAATTTTTTTCCCAAAAAAAAAAGTCATTGTTCATCCCATATAAGTTTATTTTATTTCACAATTAAAAAAGTATTTTATGTAAAAAAATTATTCCACGTAAGTTAAGATTTGAGACAATAAAATTCATCCATTAAATCACACACATATTTTTTTTATAATTTATGTAAATTTAAAGGTTGTAATATTCTTGTTACATTATAGAGCTCACATTTTTTTTCTTACAACTCTCACATTTATTATTCATTATTTTTACTTTTTGTTTTATTTTTTTTTTACCATGGGTACCACAACTTGAAAAAAAAAAAGTGTGGCACAACTATCTTTTAAATCATAAGCCCCACATTCTTGCAATTTCTCAAAATTTCTTCCAAATGTAAAAATAAAAAAATTTAGTTTTAAAAAAAATTTAATGGGATTAATGTTCAAAAAAATTTGATGAACAATCCCACTAAACTTGATTACAAAAAATAAATCCTATTAAACTTCACACTTTGTATAGATAATTTATAATTATAATTGTCACCCCTTGCATATTAGAAAATAAAAATAATTTATTATTTGAAGATATTATTTGTAGTTTTTCTACAATTTATTATCTTTTTGGCCTCCACATTTTATTATTTTTTACATATGTAAAATACAAATAATAAATAATGTCTCATGCCTAACATTACATAAATCTCATGTCCACCACCATTTTTCATCAGGGGTCCCACATTTTTTTAAATTGATGATCTTTAAATTAAACATGCAATTTTTTTTTTAAAAAGGTTTACTTGCTTTACATAGAATCTAAATGGATGTAATGTAAATCATATTGTTCATGGCTAAACACTGAGACTACTTATATATTTTATGTAGATATAGATATATTGGGGTTGGGGGAGTGTCAACATTGACCGTATCCTTTCACTTCATGGATATATATTTTTTTCCCGGTTAAATTATCAGGAGTATCCTCTCTACTAAATAGTATGGAGACGAATCTTAAAGTATAAATGTCACGCATTATTTTTTGCACTTGACCTACTTGTAATCATTTACTCAAGGACCATGTCATACAACCATGAACCTTTGAGACCTCATGGCCGGATAATCGCGACCATTTTTGGGGTGAATGTTCGAGCATAACAAAACGGAAAAAGAGTTCTGTTTGGAAGCTGGCGAGCCCAATGTCGTGAGTAGGTGGGCCGACAGAGACACCGGAAACAAGAAAGCCCAGTATAGAATGGGGAAGAACTGCGCCTCCGCAATTCGCAACGGTTCAGGTGAGGGTTTTCCGGTGGGCTTGTCGTGGCTAAAGTCTTCATTTAGGAGCCAGTGAGCTGTTATTTACTGGGGTTGCTCTAGCGCCACACCTTTCACTGGAGCTTCCTCCTTCCACAACCAGGTTGCTGTTGGAAAATTCAAACACATAAACCGCCATAACTGCTGCTTCGTGTTCTTTTGCGGGAGCTATTATTTTTGTTCCTGAGACGGCTGCATATCCTATTCTTCTATCAAAATAAAGACGATGTCGTCAACTGCTGAACCTACCAATTCAAACTTAAACACTAGGCTCACCTCGGAAGGTTGCAGTGTCTTGCTCGACATCAACGATGGCGACCGTCTCGTTTTTGCTCGTCTCTCCTCCGCCGCGTTAGTTTCTTTGAATTTTTCTGTACTCTTTGTTTGATCGATAAGCTCGCTCGTTTTGAAGAATTGGATGGCTTTGCAGGAAGTTGAAAATCGGGAATAAGAACTGTTCCCTGCAGCCTTTAATCGGGTGTAACTACGGTTCTCTTTTTCAAGTTGAGATTGGACCTGACGGCTCTTTTTTGTCTCAGGTTACTCCTTCGGTCCAAGGTTTGATTTGCTCTTCTTTTTCTCCTTTCGTGATAAACGCATGTGTTTGCATATACATGGCCTTAGAGGATCAGCCTCTTTGCAGACATGGCTTTTCGAATGCCGTTTGGTACAGTTAAGTAAATTCTAGAACCAAACAACGTTACTACCAAGCCACCATTTTTGTGGTCTGTTGGTGGTGGGAGAAATTTACGATTAATCGCTACGCGGCCTCTTAAATTCACAAATACTTCTGCGGTGACTTTTGTATGTCCAATAATGTGTAAATCACCCACTTGAAATACGTCTATGATGTCCTACGGTTAAGTAAAACCTAAAAACACGTGGATCTGTATGTGTATGCATCTCATTCATCCTTTAAAATTATTAATTTACTGGTTCATCGAGAATCAAGATATTTCATTAGACTCTAATTTCTCTCTTGCATGTGTCTTATTTCTGCATTTACATTTTTAGGTAACGATACTGAAGAGAAAAGCGACAATCAATTAAATGTTGAGTCCAGGGACAACCGGACATTGATTGACAATAACAAAGCCCAAAGGCTGACTGGTGAAGATATACAAGCTATGAAGAGGTGAGAAGATCTTTACTTCCCGTGCAGAGTTTAAAAAAAAAAAAACGTCTTTTGCCTGGAACCTAGTTCACACATGACATTAGTAACATCAACATGATCGCTTTTAAATGTTATTCTTGTGACATCTTTTCTCTCTGCTATCATATATCTCCGCAAATACTACTACAGATTGATTTGTTCCACTTGTTTTTTTATTTAATCCTTTTAGTGGAGTTAAATAAATTGTCCATTCATTATCTCCTTTTAGTTCTTGCAAATATCAGTGGAGAATCATTTCTAGATGTAGTTCTTTCTTAGAAGTTTGATCAATGCTTACTTGTTACTACCCATAACTCTTCTGCAGTCAGGGTGCTAGAGGTGATGAAATTATTGAGACTCTCATTGCCAATAGTGCAACGTTTGAAAAGAAAACATCTTTTTCACAGGTATATTGAAGTATTAAAAATAGTGCACAGATTATTTTGTAACAGGCTCATATTCAATTCAATTTTTGCAGGAGAAATATAGGCTTAGGAAGCAAAAGAAATATGCACCGAAAGTATTACTGAGGCGTCCTGTTGCTCGAAGGTGATCTTGAGCATTACCTGTTTTTATTACATATTAACAAATTCACAATCCTTTGCTCCCTGCATATTTTTGACCTATAACTTTCTCTTGAATCTCAAAGATGTATGTAAAAGAATGTTGCCTCGTATTTTTGGGTCTCTTGAATCTTCCAAATGACCGATGTTTTATCACTACTTTTTCAGTATATGCGAGGCCTACTTTAAGAAGCATCCAGCAAAAATTCGGTGAGGTTTATCTTGTGTTTGACTGTACTTTGGTATTCAGTTTTATCCTGTTTATCATTTCCATTAATTTTTGGTGAGATTAGAGTGAATTCTTTTGGAACTCAATGCAAACAATGTTGACCAATCATGACGTGGATAAGAAGATTTCTGTATATTTTGTATTGGTTAAACCTTGATAAATGACAAAGAAGTATCTTTGTGTGAAATTGTTTGGATTGAAATAGCAGCAAGAAGAAAGAAAGAAACAAACTGAGCAAGTCACTGCATTTGTTTTGATAGATCTGCGTGATATATGGACACTACTACTTGGTGCTTTTCTGGAAATTTCATGCATTGGAGTTGACATAAGATGTTGAATGTTCTTGTTTTCTGTGTGTATATGTACTATGGAGTCTAGAAGAAGAAGCCCCCTGATTTGATTTTGAAATTCAGTATGTAAATAGTTGCAGGTAACTTTTTTCTATATGTTTTGACATGGTGGATTCATTTATATGCACGTGTTATATTGCTAAATGTTGTTTGCGAACTGTTTCTCATGTCATTCGGAAGTTATTATGGTATATATATTTATCTGATTGTTTGGATTTTGGTGCCCTAACTCCGCCTATGTTTATAGCCGGTCCCAAGCCCGGATAAAGGAGGAGGGTTGTGTTAGGCCATCAACAGCCAATGTAAAAATTTGTTAAATCTATCATGAACATGGACAATAGATGTTATAATGTTAATGCTAGGTCGTTGCCCGTAAGTAACGCACTGCAGGGCTCGAGTACTGTGATAAGTGAGTTAGAGCCGCTGCATCGGCGCCCTGATGTAGTGTTAAATGAGCAAGGGCTATCGCGTCATTTTGGACGTACGCGGCTAAAGAAGTTAGTCCATAAGAGCAAAATTAGATTTGGTACTTGGAATGTTGGGACATTAAATTGTAAATCTGTAGAGGTTGTAGGGGTTATGATTCAAAGGAAAATCAATATCCTTTGCTTGCAAGAAACAAAATGGCGTGGAGAAGAAGCTAAGGATATTCAAGGTTTCAAACTTTGGTATACAGGAAAAGTAAGTGCACGCAATGGAGTAGGCATCATTATAGATAAGGAGTGGAAGAAGAACGTTGTAGAAGTTAGCAGAATTGGAGACAGAATTATTTCTTTAAAAATGATAATTGGACGTGAGACTGTTAATATTGTTAGCGCTTATGCGCCGCAAGTCGGGACAGAAGCCAGTCTTAAGGAATTATTTTGGGAGGATCTGGAGGGGTTGATTTGACACATACCACAGAGTGAAAAGATTTTTATTGGAGGAGACTTTAATGGGCATGTCGGGAGGGAAGCTGGTCAGTATGCGAGGGTGCATGGTGGTTTTGGTTTTGGAGAGCTAAACAAATGAAGGACAAACTCTTCTTGATTTCTCATTGGCGTATGATTTTAAGATTGCCAACACTTGTTTCAAGAAGAGAGATGAGCATCTCATCACTTACAAAAGTGGAGCCTCAAGGTCACAGATTAATTTTCTTTTAGTTAGGAACACAGATAGAAAACTTTGTAAAAATTGTAAGGTGATCCCCGGAGATGCTGTAACGACACAACATAGGGTCCTAGTCCTTGATGTGTGTATTATGAGTAAAATTCAAAAACGTCGACAAGTAGTAACACCAAGGATTAGGTGGTGGCAATTAAAAGGTGAGAAGCAAGATATTTTCAAGTGAAATCTTTTGGATAAAGGAATTTGGGATTCTTAGGGAAGTGCTAACATCATATGGGAGGATATGGCTAAAAAGATACGGGAGGTTGCAAAAGTAGTTTTGGGAGAATCGAAAGGTTCTGGTCTGAGAGATAAGGAGTCTTGGTGGTGGAATAATAGTGTACAGGACAAAATCAAGTATAAGAAGAATTGTTTTAAAGCCATACATTTGTGTAACAATGAGGAAAATTGGGAGAGGTACCGTATGGCTAAGAAGGAAACTAAGAGAGCTGTGGGTGAAGCTCGTTCTAAAGCTTTTGAAGAATTTTATAAGAACCTTGAGACGAAGGAAGGAGAGCAAAATATTTATAAGATTGCCAAGAGTAGGGAAAGAAAATCAAGAGATCTAGAACAGGTAAGGTGTATTAAGGATGAAGAGGGAAGAATTTTAGTTACAGATGATGAAATTAAAAATAGATGGGAGACTTATTTTTCTAAACTTTTCAATGATGGAGAGGATTCATCTAGTAACTTGAAGGATTTAGTAACTGGTGAAGGAGCACAAAATTTGTCATTCTATTGAATAATACGTGATAAGGAGGTAAAGGAAGCTCTTAAGAAAATGGCAAATGGTAGAGCCAACGGACCTGATTGTATATCTATCGAAGCGTGGAAATGTTTAGGTGAAGAAGGGGTGAGATGGTTAACTAAGTTATTTAATGTGATTTTACGGGGCCTGATGAGTGGAGGAGAAGTACATTACTTCCTATTTATAAAAATAAAGGAGATATTCAGAATTGTACTAACTATAGAGGGATTAAACTCATGAGCCATACAATGAAATTGTGGGAGAAAGTAATTGAGCACAGGTTGAGATTGGAGACAAGTATTTCTGAGAATCAATTTGGTTTTATGCCAGGTAGATCAACTACAGAGGCGATTTATTTACTAAGGGGATTAATGGAAAAGTATCATTGTAAAGGTAAAGATCTACACATGGTTTCTATTGATTTGGAAAAAGCTTATAACTGTATACCAAGAGAAGTGCTTTGGAAAGCGTTGAAAAAAAAAGGGAGTACGGATTGTTTATATTAAAGTCATACAAGATATGTATGAGGGGGTAAAAACTAGTATAAGAACGCCTAGTGGTCAAATAAAGGATTTTCCTATAAAGATTGGACTACATTAGGGTTTATCTCTGAGTCCTTATTTGTTCAACTTGATTTTAAATGTTTTGACGGAACATATTCAAGAGGAAATCCCGAAATGTATGCTCTTCGCGGATGATATAGTTCTTATAGCAGAGACAAGAGAAGAGATTAATTGCAAACTTGAGTTATGGAGGAGGACATTGGAGTCGAAAGGTTTTCGTTTGAGTAGAAGTAAGACGGAATATTTATATTGTAAATTTGATAAAAGACTATTCGAAAATAATTTGGAAGTGAAATTGGGAGATCAAATTATACTTCAAGTGGAAAAGTTTAGATATTTGGGAGCCATTATTCAAAATGATGGCGAAATCAGTGGAGATATTTCACATAGAATTCAAGCTGGGTGGTTTAATTGGAGAAAAGCTAAAGGAGTTATTTGTGACCGTAAGGTGCCTAATAAACTTAAAGGAAAGTTTTATCGCACTGCTATCAGACCGGCAATGTTATATAGTAGTGAATGCTGGGCTTTAACGAGATAGCAAGAGCATAAAGTTGGAGTAGCAGAGATGAGAATGTTACGATGGATGTGCGCACATACACGTAAAGATAAAATTCGAAATGAGCACATACGCGAAAAAGTGAGGGTGGCACCTATTGAGGAAAAAATGGTAGAAAATCGGTTGAGATGGTTTGGGCATGTACAAAGAAGACCAAGGGAGGCACCAGTGAGAAGAGTGGAACATATAACTTTGAGTCCGATTAAGAGAGGTAGAGGAAGGCCTAAGAGAACACTCTTGGAAGTTGTTGAACGTGATCTCTTAATTAATAATATTCCTAAAAGCTTGATAAATGATAGAGCACAATGGCGTCTTGCAATTCATGTAGCCAACCCCACCTAGTGGGATAAAGGCTTGTTGTTGTTGTTGTTGTTGTTTCGGATTTTGGTGCCCTGTCTCTGATTGAAGTATATGTATTTATGCTTGATTTTATTTATTATTTATTATTTTTTTAATTATTCAGGTTCTTGCGAGTGGATACATTATCTCTTCTACTCTCCATGGCTAATGTCTCTTCCCACTCAGACATTATTGTCGTTGATATGGTTGGTGGCCTTCTTACTGGTGCTGTGGCAGAACGTTTAGGAGGTATCTTATGTATTTCAAATAAGTTGACTTCTAAGTTTTGCTCATTTGTCTCTCAGAGATTAGTTGAATGTTAAAAATAAAATACTTTGAATGTTACCGAAAAAAAAAAAAGAAGAAGTTAAAATATTTTAAACATGATAAATGACAATGAAACAGAAGCAGATGCATTGCTGCTGGTTTATTGTGTTTCTGTTTGTAAGTGCTGAACTTGTAGTCATTTTAGCAGTTATTACATGCCTTGTATTAATTATAGTATAATCATTACAGGTACAGGTTTCGTATGCAACTCATATCTTGGAACAGCACCATATTCCATGGATATTGTGAGGATATTTAACTTTAGTGACGAAATTTGCAAGAGGTACTTGACCTGATTATTTTGTTATAATTTATCAAACATTTTTCATAACCTTCTGAGGAGCAGGTTACTGATTGGGGACATATAAAAAGAAATAATTTAATATTTTTAAGCTTATAACATCTCGCTAGTCACTAGTGTACACCTGCATATTATTTAGATTAGATAAATGCAATTAGCTTTGTCTTCAAAAGTAGCTGTTTTGGTCATTGAAAGATAAATTGTTCAATATTTTTGAGCCTATTATTTCTCTCTAGTGTACATATTGCTATTTTTAAATACTAAATATTGTTTATTTTATATAAATGCAGTTATCTTCTTTTGTGAAACTAGCAGTTTTGGGAAAATAAATTTTCCTGTTTATTTTTGTGAAAATTTCTTCGTTCAGATGGGATAAACAAGAAGCTTAAGTAAATGCTTTGATTCGTCTATTCTGCTTATTCTCCATTGATAATTGATGTGTCATCTATTATACTTTACCATTAGGTTATTACTCATTACATGTTTCTTTCAAATAATCACAAGTAGTAAGTCTAAATGACTGGTTTGCAGCCACATCAGGTGGTCACTTTTTATGTGTAAAGTATTTCCAGGCTTTATGCCCTTTCCACTTCCTTGATCATGATTTCTTTTCCTTGGTCCAGAATTGTTCGATCTCCCATTTCTGACTTGCTGTCGCAAAAAGAATCACCTGAACAAATTCTACATCGTGATGACGTTTGTAACATGGAAAGCCTGACGAGTGTTAGTACTAAGCAGCCTTCTTGAATCTCTTGATCAGTTAACTGTTTGGTAAATTTATCAGACAATCTTATATGCGCACTCTGCAGAATCAAATGTCTACATCAGTCACTGTGGATGAAATCTCTGGTCCATCAGGAAATGAAATTTCTGATCAAGGTGCAGAGAATGTTGAGAATACCAATGTTCCTGCTATAAGAGCGTGCAAATCTACAAAGGCTGGAGAAACGGCAAAAAAAGATACCATTAACTTGTGGAAAGAAAATGGTTTTTCTAGGTAGCTACAATTTTTAGTTACTGTACTCTCTAGTTAAAGAATCATGTGAGTTAATTTTGTTTTTACATTTCTCTGTACAGCTTAATCATTGCTGCGCCAGATTTGGATACCTGGACATTGGCTAGGGATCTCTTGCCTCTCTTATCAAATTCGGCTCCCTTTGCTATTTATCATCAATATCTTCAGGTAATTTGGTCTAATATTCAAATTTGATGACATTCATGCACGACAATCTCTTAAGAACCAGTTTAGTTCTATAACCAAAACTCAGAACAATGTAAACAGAAATGAAAGCAACTAGGGAACTTTTGTTTTTACTATCCCAACAGCCAGCTGGTGACCTTGAGTTTTTACTTTTCCACTGAACAAATGTGACACTGTATCAGCTTACAAGATCTAACCCAGCAACCCTATTACACCCAAATATACAGCAAGAAAACATAGAATGATAGAAAGGCGATTGATATAATACAAATGTCACTGATGGAGTGAAGACACTGATGGCAGTTTCAGAACACTATCAATAGGACGAACTAAAGGACTTGAATACTTACTAAACAAACACAGCTTCCAACCCAACAATGCAGAACTAGAACCTCAAGAATTTAGCAGAATTGCCAACTCTTAAGAGGTTGGCTCTCTCCACCCAAAACCTGACCAAAGTTATCTCCTCCTCTCCTTTCTAAACTCTTCTCTTATTTATACCCTTGTATACAACTCTTTAACTGCTCCCTCAATTCTTTTCATCATGACTACCTTGTTTTGCTGCTCTACTTTTTCTGTTCTGTACTATTTTTAAATTGTGTGTGTGTGTGTGTGTTTCCTGGACTAATAGTTCTCCATTTTCTTGGCTTTTGCCACTTCCCTGTCTCTCCTTCTATGTGCTTTGGTGGCAGCGGTGGGTTGGGACCTGTCAATTGAGAATCCTTTTTTAATTTTGGTTCCTTAATGGTGTGAATCAAAAACTGGGTGCTCTGGCTGATTTAGCTTATATTTCTAGGAATTGTCATTGATTAGCGTATGATGATTAATATAACTATCCTATGCCCACATATACTCGAAATCTTTATGCATGTATAAGGTGGTGCACTTTGAACTCTTGTATTTCTACTTTAATTTATGATGCACGGCTAGTAATACGTAACTAATACTTTGATACTTTCATTTTTAAAAAAATAGGATATGATACGTGCATATATATATATATATATATATTCATAAAAAAATAATAAAAAACATTAAAAATATAGTCTTGATTTAGAAAATATGCAAAATAGTATACATATGTAGTCCTGTAAAATAATATCAAACAAAACGTAATTATTCCTAACACTTTTATTCTATCTACACCTAATCGTCTATTGCCTAATCTCTATTAATAGTTCCCCACCTAAATGCCAAAAGATTATATTCCTACATTTTTATAGTTAAAAAAAATATAATTTTTATCTTTTTATTATATGTAAAGCTTTTTTTAAAGAAAATCTAATCTTTGATTTTAGAAGCAAATCACAAAAATATATTAGGAATAAAAAAGATAAATATCGCAATATTTAAACAAAATATTTTTTAAAAAATAGTTTTGAAGTATTGGCTTTAAAGTATTAATTTGCAATTTAAAAGCATCAAATATGTGTCGAAATTAAAAAATAATATCTCAATTTTCTACAGATATGTATCGAAGAAGTAGCGGTGAGTATCGGTATCGGATATGATATTAATACGGAGACGTGAGGCAATTTGAAGTATCAGTGCTTCATCTATTTTAAGTGCTTAACACATTATCCTTGCATTCGCCCTCCTTGTAACAGGTTTTCTGGTTTGTTCACTGTTTAATTTACAGCCGCTTGCTACTTGCATGCACAATCTACGGGTTGGGAAAATGGCCATTGGCTTGCAAATATCAGAGCCTTGGTTACGTGAATACCAGGTTAGAGTTATTTTCTTCTGTATTTTGATAGAGCGTAGGTTTTGATTGAGTGTTTTTTTTTTTTTTCCTGGAAGGGGGAGGGGGTTTAATTTAAGTTTAACTCATGAAAAGTCTGTTCTGGATCCTCGGACTTCGATTCTTTGAAGCGTTTTGTTTTGTGTATTTAATTTATAAAAATTCTCCCTTCCGCCGTCATGTGACTTGACTTCTCAGAAATTTAAAGATAAATTCATTGGATTCATACTCTATGAAATCCTGTAGTTGCATGACCTTCTGGCTTGCTTCATTTATTGCTTACTTTTTATAGTACAAGTTAATTGGCTTTATAATCAAATCATGAAATTCCGCATCAAATGTGCCCCTGGGGCACCAGCATGCGGGTTCAATCCTGTAGTTCCTTCAGGCGTTACGCCTGCGACCAAAAAAAAAAAAATCATGCAATTCCAAGTGTGCTTATGGTTGATTGGTTCAATGTATGTGATTGGGAGAAGGGTATAGGTAAAGATTAGTCAACTGGAGAGGTTTTCTAAGATAACTGTGGTCATTCATTTTTTTTCCTCAAGTAATAATTAGCGGTCGCATAGCTAGTTTTCATTTGGTTTAACAATTTCATAATAATTTTGCAGGTCCTTCCATCAAGAACTCACCCGTCCATGCAAATGAGCGCATTTGGTGGATATATTCTTAGCGGGACTAAGATATGCATCAGCTAGTTCCAGCCCTCAGGAACGCTTTTGTCCTCCTAGTTTGTTGCTGGTCAGCCAAAGCCTTGCCTGATGGATACGTGTTCTTTTGCAATGTTTAACAGCCTGTATCCCTTCAACTGTCATGATTTTTAATTCCAGCTGGCAAGTGCAATCTCTTGTTAAATCTGGTAGTTACGTTAGGAGAGAGTTTGGATCCTTATTCACTATCCATATTTTACTTTACCTTGACCACCCAAGCTAATTCTAGGTGATTCAATTATAGTGTACTTTCATAACATTATAATGGTTATAATGCTAATGCATTACAGCCCTGCTAATTCGAAGTTTATGTATTTTTTATTACAGTTTTCAATAAAAATGTGTGGGATATGATATAATTTCTATAGCTGATCATGTTTAGTTTTCTTTTTCTTTTTCTATTTGTAAAAATAAAAAGGAATCCGTGCATTTATAACTAGTTGCTTGGATCCAAGCTAGCAAGAGCTAGTAAGATTCCCGATGCATGCGACCCTGGAAGGGCAGCATGCGACCCTGGAAGGGCAACATGCGAAGCATATAAACCATGCAAGGACGGAGAAAGGCATGCGTCACCTGGAATGATGACTAGTTTTATTTTATATGTGCAGTATATGCATGTAATATCTTTTTAATAAAATTTCAATTTCAAATTTTCTTTGACATCTTAGCTATCTTCCCTCTTTTCTTTCTTTAATGCATGGGAGGTAGGGATAGAAATAAACTATGCTTTTATCAAGTAGCATACAACTTGATCTTGTTGTGGGGTAGGTTGGTTTATTTAGCTAAATTTTTTAAGCCACATATAAGGCTTGCTTGGCTAAGTAGACTTTACCTATTTTGTTAAGGCCTAACTTATAAGTCTATGGATTTGGCCTATTTAAGTTTTTTTATTTAATTACATATATATATATATATATATATTATTTATATTAAATATATTTAATTTATTTATATTATCCTTATTGAATGATTGAGCTTTATTGATAATTTAAGTATGTTTAAAATTCATTGAAGGCTCTTCAAAATTTATTTCTTGAACTTTTTTAAAAGCATACTTAATAAGGAGGTCTTTTTTCAAAAGGTATCAGATTTGATCAGGTTTATGATAGGTTTAGATTTGAACCTAAAATCAAGCATGCAAGCTCAAGTTTTAAGCCTTTATTATAAGTTCAAATCTTTTTAAACAAGACCTGCCCTGGCATATTTCCATTGAGAGGGTTTGAATCCGTTACTTGAATATATATTTTTTAATCTAACTATATATATACTTTAAAACATAATAACATTAGCACCGAAAAATAAATTATATGTAATAATTTTTATGCTTTTATTCTTATTTTATCTCTTTTAAAAAACCTATTTAGCTTTGTTTCTTTAATTGCAAAATTAAATTGGTTAATAGATAAAAGATAAATACGTTGCAGAAAAAAATTTGTTTAATGTATTAGAACTTATTACACAAAAAATTACCAAAAAGTATAGTAGTAGTATTATTTTTTTAAATGAAAAATGTAGAAGAATTCTATTTAATGGAAGAACCAAAGAATATGAGCTAAAAATTAAAATTTCAAATAATTTTAAAAAATATGTACAATTTCCAAAGAGCCATGAAAGCCCGCAAAGAAGCCTGACGGACAGGAGAAAGCCCAGTTATGGATAGAAACAGAAGCCCAAGTCAGAGAGAGAGAGAGAGAGAGTGGGAGCGGCAGCGAAAAACAAAAGGCGGGTGGCGTGCGTATTCGAACTAACAGCTTCCTATTGCTAATTGAACCCTTCTCTGCTTCCTTCATCCTCCACACTTCACTCTCTTCAATCCGAATGTCGACTTCCCGTCAGGATCAAACCCCTCGCCATCACCTCCCTCAATTCCAATTCCATCTTCTTCACCCCCATTCTCAATTCCATCGCGATCGCACTCTTACTTCTCAACCTTTCTCCTCTCCTTCTCACCAATTCGCTTCTGATGATGCCCATTCTGCTTTTGCAAAGCTTGCTGTGAGTTCTCTCTTTCTTTACGAAATGTCACTTCCCACCTTACTTGCTTTATTCGGGTTCTTTTTTTTTTCTCTTCTTCCTTGTTTCACTATGAAAACGCTTCCAGCTCAATCTTCTTAGCTTCCTGATCTATTCCCTTTGGAATTTGACGTTTTTGTTGTTGTGCTGTAGATTTTGCTATGTTCAACTCTGTGTAAACAGCTGGATCCCCGTTTGCCCCCACCGTTCCCTGTCTGCTTAGAAATAATGTATGGATGCAAAAGCTGTTTGAGCTTTCGGGTGTATGGATTTGATTTTCCATTTTTTTCTTGGCTTGGCTATCCGCTTCTGCTCTCTGCATTTGTTGGCTTACTTGTCAAGAGATTTTCTGATTGGTACATCTGATCAAGCGCAATATGCTCCAGTTATTTATCAATAAATTCTCGAAATTGCTGAAGAGTTTCTTAAGGCTTAATGTTTTTCATGCGTGATTGACGGGCTCTGTAGGCTATGACTTCCAGCATATTTATGATGAAGTCAACTTTCGGTATCAGATAGGGTTTGAATGTCAAGAATAAATATGCATCCTTAACACTTTCAATGTGCACATCCATCTTTTATCTCTTAATTATTTATTCTCATTCTTATGTGCAGTTAAGTCAAAGATATGAAATTGATAATTCCAGGCCTCAGATGAGTAATACTGAAGTAGCTCCAGCTCCGAACAAAATAGCTAATCTTTCTCCACTCAAAACTGAGCCTGCCATAAGAAAACATCATGGTAAATCGGAAGTTTCAAGAAATGCGAAATCAGGGAATCAAAGATCAAATTCCGGTATTCTTATAGACGATGACTCTCTTATTATCTATGTGCCATTATATTTTATTTGTGCTTTAATTTTACGCTGGGAGATTTTCATTTCAGAATCTTCTAATTCAACCCCAGTTAATTGCCGTTATGATAGTTCCTTAGGTATGTCTACACTAAAGAAATATTTTGTCCTTTCCACTCACTATATGCATGCACCAGCAACAATTTATTCCTCTGTGAACGCTGCTATCATTTGTTGGAGGTATAGAAAATGTCTTTCATATTATACCTGGTGAACACGTAATTATGTTTATTTAAGTTTTACAAGACTCATCTAGTCATTGCATGTTACAAGCTTTTTGTGAATCGTGGTAAGAAAAGCTCTGGTGATATTATTTAAGTCTACCTGCTTCTGCTTTCAGCATAAATTGCATACTTAAATCCGGTTGCTGGCAAGTCTTGGATTTTTTTTTTATTTAATTTGTTTGACTAATCTGAATCTCGTTGATTTTGGCAGGTTCAGAAAAGGAGAATTTATGATATTACAAATGTTCTTGAAGGAATAGGGTTGATTGAAAAAACATCAAAGAACCATATACGGTGGAAGTAATCATCTCAAATTTTGTTGTGTCTTTTAACTTGTAATCATACTGTGGTGACTGGTGGTGATATAAGCCTTATGAACAGGGGATATGATGGACTGGGGGCAGGCGAACTGGATGATCAAATTACTAGACTAAAGGTTTACAGATCTTGTTTACCTGTCATTTTTTAGTTCAGGTTGATTAATCACTGATTTTACACAGCTGTATGTGATTGGTTTGCCTTCTGAGAATTTTGATTAATCAATGTTGGTAGGCCGTAGGCCCAAGATTGATCGCATTTGTGAAACCTTGCAAAGCAGTTTCCTACAAGAGTTTTGGATATACTTTCTGGCATCACATTTCTAACATACAAGACGGAAGTACTTCAGAATCTCCCAGAGTCAAGATAGTTAAAGACTAAAGGCACCCTCAAAATGACAAACCTCTAAAACAATTTGTATGAGATGAAGTGTTAACCTCACATTCAAGTGATACAAAAACTGACAAAAAGAAAGTTATATAGTTTAAAAAAAAAAAGTGACACATGTAAATTTAGAATATTGCATGACGTAAAATTTCAAAAAAATATGACATAAGTTATCTTTTAAAATTAGAATGACTATTTTATCCTATTCTCTTTAATTCCCGAGGTTGGATTTTGTAGTTTCCGATTTTATCCTATTAGTATTTTATATTTTTGGGCTGGACTTGTAAGCCAATCCTTTGCCCGTAGTTCACAAATATAGAGGTGCTTGAGCCATGAGGTGCACATTTGGGAGAATAAGAAAACTGACAAAGATAGTCACCTTACAACGCCTAATTGAAGGCAGCACCTCTGGTGGTGAGAGGCACTGACTGTGAATAGAAGGCGCTGAGGTAAGCCGTGAGCGCCTTTGACATCATTGATGAGCATGTAGGATATCCATGTCCAAAATATCGCTGATGTTCTATGCATATGTAGCTTGAGCTACTTTATGCATTTTCTTGAACCCAGAAACTATTTTTTCCTATTTGCATCTAAGATTCTCAGTTGTTTGCATGGACATCTATTCATTTTATGTGTTAACTTTAAGCCTTACATGTTGCTGCATTGCTTAATGCAGTATATCATGATATCCTTCTTAATCTTGGTTACCCATTGATAAATATAAGCTGCAGTCTGTGACAGTAAAAAATGTTTGTGTTTTTTAGCATGGATCAGTTATCCACATAATTGGGTAGGAAAAATTGTAGCAAATGTCCACATGAGGAATGGAAAATTGGAATTGGTCATCGTATCTGTTACAATGTATGACGAATGTTGCTCAGGGGCTGAGCTACCTCTTGCAAACAATTAATATATGGCTTAGTACAGATGATTTGGTTCAGTTCTCTGACAATCATTTGGTTCATTACAGTCTGAAGTTGAAAGTATATGCTCTGAGGAGTACCAACTTGATGATATTATAAGGTATTCAAGTGTTTTGTTGATATATTTCCTGATGTTTGGCCTATCTTTTTCTTCGTTTTTAACTATTGATTTTTTAATTCCTCAGGAAAAAGCAAGAGCTCCTAAGAACTTTGGAGGAAGATGAAAATCATCAAAAGTATAAACTTTTGACGACTTTTTAATGATTGAGACTGTATCCTCCTCTGATAATGTGCTTTGTTGATCTACAGGTACCTTTTTTTGACTGAGGAAGATATTCTTGGCCTTCCATGTTTCCAGGTTAATTTTCTGCTGTTATCGAGTTTTTATTGTTGTTGTTGTTGTTGTGTCTATAATCTGTTTCTCATTCTTTTCTCAGGATCAAACACTCATTGCAATCAAGGCACCCCAAGCTAGTTTCATTGAAATTCCTGATCCTGATGAGGTGGGTGGTCATGATGGTTGTTTTAAATTTTTATGGTGCAAGAGTGAGTAGTTGGCTTGATTTAATGAACAGGATAATGAATTCCGGCAAAGGCAGTACAAAATGATCGTTAGAAGCAGCACTGGACCAATAGATTTGTACCTCTTGAGGTGATCTCCTGTAACTTTCAGCCTAGAGATGCTTCTCTATTTTACTTTGTTCTTGCTTATATGTTTCGTGTGTTAGTGACATAAGATATTTTTATTTCCTTGTTTTTTGTTGCTTTTAGTGACTGATCTCCCTTTCTACTCTTGAAGCAAACACAACGCCAATTATGAGGATGTTAGAGTCAAGCAACCTGCATCGCTAGACCCTTCATGGAACAGTGACCAGGGTGGATTGAAGAGTTCGGAATTACGTTTAGAAAGCCGAGATGCCCAGACAAATCCGTCTCAAAGTTGTAGCTTGCTGGACTCGGAGCCACCTGGCATTCAGAAAATTACGCCAATGGATTTTGATGTATGTATCATTTACGGTTTTGAATGATTAATTAGCAAATAAGTGTAAGAAAGTTTGGCGGATCATTCTGGGATTGTATTGCAGATCGAAGATGACTACTGGTTCCAATCAGATCATGGAGTGACCCTAACGGATTTGTGGGGTAGGCAATACTTTTAAAGCGAGTCTTCATCATGTGAATTTTTTTTTCAAATGATAATAATAACAACAACAAAGAACATTTCCCTCCCGCCCTCCTCAAGGATCCAAGGTTAACTAACATCTGGATCTAAAAATACATATTTTTCCCTACAGCAAATGAGGAGTCAGTTCACATGGATCAGGTTCTTCGAGATGAAGACGATTGTTCAAATGAGGGTGGGGCGTTCATCGAAAACACCAGCTTCCTGGACAGACGTGGTCAATAGGTAAATGAGACGGAGGCTGTTAGGTACTGCAGATGAGAACATTGGCAATGTACATAGACAGATCGAGATAAGGCAATAGATAGAGGAAGTCACAGAAGTGTAAATTATATCATTTTTATGACACTACAGATTGTGTCTTCTAGTGCGGTGAATGTGTTAGTTGCAGATATCTAATCTACCATAGCTGTAATCAACTCTAATTTCCACAGCAACGGAACCCCGGCGTGGGCTGAGGTTTGCAGATTGCAGGGTTGTGGAGCTTTACTTTAGTGTTAACTGCGTTTGAACTTTGCAATCTCTTCATAGTTCATTCCTTTTTCTGAGTATTTGTCAAGTTCAAACTTCAGAGAAAAAAACACCATGTGTATATGGGAACTGTGTAAGTCTAATTTAAATATGGAATTTGCTTTGAACAGATGAATCTTACCCAAAAAAAGCAAAAATAAATAGGATGCAAATCCTTGCGCAGAGTCAAAGTTGGGCTTTCACCAAACTCCATTATCATGAGATTGATGTCAGATCTCGAGGTCAGGCTCATAGTAGATGGCAATTCGGAAGTACATTAACTTCTTGCGGGTACCTGTTTAAGATACTAGAGTGAATTTCTGTGGTGAAGATCTTTCGAGGGTCGAGAACCTTGAATGGGTGTTGCAATGAGATTCCAACCAAACGGCGGATGCCACATTTTACAAGTTCTGGTTTTCACATGGCTATTGGCTTGATATTTCTTTGTACGACAAAATGTGTTTTTTTTTTAAATAAAAAAAATCTTTAAAAATGAAAGTAACACAATTTTAACCTTTAAATCTTTAAAAATGAGACTGCGAATTTTGGATTCGCTGCGCAGTTTCTGCCCGATGACTAATGGGAGACTTCAGACATTATTTGATTGCATGATAGGTGGAGTTAAGACCCAAGGTTTTTAGACTTTGCGAGTATTTTCTCGCATGTTCAATAGCTAACGTCTTCATTTCAAAGAACTAAACTGCACCTGCATTTTACATAAGAGACATCCCACCTGCTATTTTTTAATTCCGCTTGCACATCGCGTCTTCTCACAAACAAGAAAGCAGAATCCCACACATGATGCATCATTGTCTAAGCTACTCAACTCTCGACATAAATTAAACATTTTAAATTAAAATATATTTCATAAATCAATTTATCAAATAATAATTCTTAACAGAGAAATTAACACGCACTAAGGTTTTATTTGGAGCAGATAAATCCTGACATCCCATTTGAAAATTGAAACTAACAAGTTACATTAGAATATATTTATGTATTAATGCTTATACCCCTCTTCTTGTTATAAGTTACTTTTAACCACTTCACTGAAATTTATATAAAAAAAAAACTCATTAAAATGTCTTCAACTTAAAAAAATATTCCAGCTTCACCTTTATTATGAAAGAGAGAAAAACACAACATTCAAGGAAATATAAAAATATTGAATTAGAATTAAATTTCCTTCACTAATTTGCTAGGAGTAAAATTTTAAAAAATATTGATGCCTCTTCAGAATTAAATTAGATTGTAAATGCCTACTTCAGGTTGTGAATGGCAGGGTGTGGAGGTTGTGCAGTAGCTGTTGAACTTGAAAAAGGATCTTGCTGATTTCAGTTTATCTCTTGTTGCACGTGAGAATAATAAAACTGCTGATTCTCTCGCAGGTTTTGCCAAAAAGAGGGATGTACCATGTTGACTAGATGATGGTGCCTCCATCCCCTTTAGCTTTCATTTTGCCTGCTGATATGAAATTAGCTCAAGATTCTTTGTTTTCTGGTTCCTGTCTTAAGAACAAGAAACGAATTGGTTAAATGTTTTGGTGAGTTTGTGTGCTGCGTTTTTTTGAGTTTTTAATTTGGCTTTTAATAGTGATTGTATTACTTTTTTTGATGATTAATAAAATTGACTTTGTTTGGCCAACAAAAAAAAAAGAATAATAATAATCATCTATGTGAATTACACTAAAAATAAAAAAAATTCTTTTAAAATGCACGTTATGCTAGAATCCGAAGGAGGACTTCATTAACCCCATTGATTTGTCTGCTTTTAACAGTTCAACTTTTCTCCCACTTCACACAATTGACGCACGATGTCAAAATGAGAGGGAAATAGAAGTTACCTCCTTCATGAACACTTGTCCTGCCCTCGACGTAAATCTTAAAAGCCAAACAAAGAAAGAAAATTAAAACACCCCCCCCCAAAAAAAAAAAAAAACTAATCTACTCAACCGTTAATACCAACTATACAAAGTAGCCGACAGAAATATCCCTTCGGATTCTAAGTCCATAAAAAGCGGCAGCAAGCTACCACCGAATAACCCCCTTCCACGCCAAGACAGTCAAAAAATAAGCAACAAATGGAATGAAATCTAAGGACCGATTTACATGAAGGTTTCGCAACAATTCAATGCCCACCATTGCCCGCCTACCGTGCTAGAATTTGAAAATATTGACACCCTAACGGTTTCCTGATCGAGTTTTCCTCAGCCTCACTCGTGTAGCTCTTATGCTCTCTTCCATTGCTGTCTCTTTCGCAGGAGGGTTCTCATTTTCATTGGCTGAACTGGATGAAGGAACTGTTGCTTCAGTCTGCATTGGTTCTGCCTCTGCCGGAGCAGATTGGCTGGTCATGTCAGGCGAAGGATTAGACTTCTGAGTACTTAAATCAGCAACAGGTGAGGCTGCAGCTGCTTTGGGCGCTTGTGAAGAACTTAATTCCTCTACCACGTCCTTCTGGTGCTGGCTTGAGGACGTACTAGAGGCAGGAGATGGAGGTTCCTCGGTTTGAGGTTCTGCTGCAGCAGCTGGTTGGCGATTAGAAGATGCAGGTTGACGGACTCTGGCACCCTGTCGTTGCTGTGATTCAAAACAAGCTTATTTTGTGAACATAAGCATAAATAAAATGATATGAAAAGGCGGTATATATAGACTTGGAGGATAGAAAATGATGCAGCAAAGAAGAACCATGGCAACGTCCATTTGACTGAAGAGAAAGAAAACACACACACACACACACGCACGCAACTAGAATCTACAAAATTTTCAAGCAAATATGAACATGATATGAAATCCATGCTTCAACATTCAGAGGATAAACGAATACAAGACCATGTACCAAACTTTTCCATTTTACATGGCTGCTTTCAAATATTTTCCTTCAGGAAAAAATGAAATCCTATTATAGTTGTATCTTCAACAATATAAGAAAAATAATCATCTTGAGTTTTTCCCTTTTTTCTTAAAGTGAAAAAAAAAATATCAAAGTTATCACCCGTCAAGGTTTAAACAAAACATCTATATTAATTGTTTAGCAAGTAGGCTTCTAGCATGCATGCTGGTTGACTTGAATACATAAATATCTTATCTACAGGTACATCATAAGTTCATACAAATACAAAACATCCCAATAAAGAACACCAGGAGAGGACAGCGAAAGGCAGAAAATCCAGTCTGAATATAATAAGGCATCTGCTAGCAGTACTATTTTGTTCTAGTTCAGTGAAAATCTTACACAATTAAGCTACATCTTATATATAATATCAGACAAACCCAAGCATATTTGTAACCAGTACCTGTGCAGGGCGAGGTGATGGTGTTGATTGTGCAGCAACGTACTGCAAAATGTCATATATTCTAGTCTGTCCATAGCTAGCAGCCCTTTGCCAGTATAAAACAGCAATATCTCCAGCCCTGGTCCTTAGTTCCAACAAGCTGCGATCAATTTCTGTCTCGTGTTTTGCAACATATGGTCTAAAGAAGGAATCATACACATATGTTGTTCCCTACAGCAGGTATGTTATTATACAATCATATCAAGAAAAGCAATAGAAAAATACAGGCTACATCACAATCACAGTAATACATTCTTACCATTGTTTTAGGGTACCACAGATATATGACAAAAGCCAACTTAGCTTCACTGTACATTGGAATCCTTTACATCGAGGGAAAAAAACCAAACAAGTAAGAATGAAATACATGAATTCTTTCTTTTGGGGTAAAGTTGAAACCATATAACAGAGAGTCCTTTACCATGATATAAAAGCGTCACCAATTCTCTCACATACTGTCAAGACAGCCACCAATATCCTGCAACCAAGATGGGAAATAAAGGCTAGTGTTCATCACTTCTTTTGCATTTTTGTTTGTTACAAGATTTATACTAATAGAGGATACAAATAACAAATCTATATCATACCAATATTGGCACCAAAAACGAAGTTGTTCAATTTCTGGCTTATTCTTTTCAACGGTTTTGTAGCATTCATAGGCAGGATAAGCATAGCCAAAAATCATCCTGATGACACAGAAAAATATATTAATTTTTGAATATTATAAATTGAACCTCTAGCATTAAGAAAGATGATAGGCTAGGATGGTATAAAACATACACAAGCACCCTAGTAATAAAGGATCCTATCATTCTGTGTTCCTGGCATAAAAAGAAAAGGACAAATGTTAATAAAAACTGTAATGATATGATTACTAAACTTCATGTAGAGCAACTTCAAAAATTTAATACAGGAAGAATATAAAATCACAAAGACACAAGCGCAGGAACAGGGGGACATTTCAATATTGTAAGGCTCCGTAGGCAATGATTATGAGCGAGGAAACATGGAATGATAAACAAGACAAATCCTAAAGTCTCTTCTACTAACGCGCAGGTAGTAAGTGAATTCAACTGAGCCCCATGGTGAATAAAATTTAAATTGCAAGGACGTTGATATCCTACATCCTATAGTTCTTCATGATTCATAGTTGACTTTCTCTCTATGCCTTCTACAGCAGCCAACCACAGATTTTTCAGAACACAGGAAAAAAGAAATAAACAAACAGAACAAGAAATCAGTTCACTTATTTTGGCCTGATAACCAATAATCTCCAACTCAACAAGTCTGTTGTGAACTAGAAGCCAAAAGCTATAGCATTCAGCGATACAAATTAGAATGATAATCCAGAGGAGCTAGGGCGACGAAAACTGTCAGACTAAATAAAGACCAATATCAGCGATCAAACGCTACAAAAACACAACACACCAAAAAAATCCGAAGCAATAACTCGATTACGCACTAAAAGCAAGTAGAAAACGGAATAGAATGTGAGAGAAAAAGGAGAAACAAGCAATTACCGCCTAACGGTTTCTTTTGAAATAAGAAAGAGGAACAAGCGAAGTATAGCGTAAACTATAAATCTGAAAAGAGAAATGAAGGGTAAGCGTAGAGAAGAGAATGAAAATCTGGTAGATCGGCGGTGAAGAGGAAGATCGGCGGCGCCGAAATGCCACCTAAGAGCCGTTACGCTGTCGGCGAGACTACAGTACGAGTGAGCCGTTTAAAATGCTGCTTCAGCAATTGGATTTGTTTCGTTTCGCCTCGCCGATCACTCGCTCGCCAGGCCTCTCGCCTCTTGTAAACAACGGGTGAGAGGGAATTATTGCGTGTGGAAGAGGTGCACAAGCATAAAGTGCACCTCTCGTATCAATCACCCAGCTAACCCTGTGCACGTGTCGCTCGAGGTGCTGTATGGTGCTAATTTTGTAAAGTTAATTTAATTTTAAACAGGTCAAAACTTGAAAGCGAGATTAAAATGGGTTCTGGTTTCCCCGGAGGAACCTAAAATCTAATTCGGCCAAGTTTTTCAATTCTCAACAAATGATATAAGCCTCGTTTGGTATGATTGAATAGTTTTTTATGGAATTGGAATTGGAATCGGAATCAGAATTGGAATCAGAATTGGAATAGAATTGAATTATAAAAGTATGTTTGGTATGTCAGAAAAATTAGATGGAATCCTTACATTACTTTTGTTTGGTATGCAAGACATGAAAATGGAATTATACTTAAAAGACAAAAATACCCCTATATAAAAATTAAAATAAAACATAATAAAAACTTAATTGTGTACCAATTTTTTTATGTATTTTATATATTAATAAAATATTATATAAATCATAGATTATATCGATAACTATTATTCACTAGCTTGGGTCAAACAAAAAGTTTTATCATCAGAGGGAACATTTTCTTGAAAATAAAATTGACAATGGTTCCCATCCCTTCTACTTTAAAATAAATACACTAACACATAGATTTAGAAGAAAAATGTCAAACAAATCAATTCTTCTTCTTATACCAACATATTATATCTAGTAAAATATTTTACAAAAAATATTATAAATATATAAATTATATACAAATATTATATATAATACTATCTTATATCCATATTATAACGTTTTCATGTCACTAAGGATAAAGTTAACTATTTATCACATAAGTGGCATTTGTACAAAATGTCTGACTCAATTTCTTTGCCATATCTTCCAATGCACAATTTACCTACCATGGCAAAACCAAAAAATGAACTAAAGAAGTAGACTTGAGCACTTTACAATCAGACTTCCTATATATAAGGCAGCCACAACTTTGTCAGCCATAGGCACCTTCATTTTAATATGGGTTCCATCAAGAGCACCTAAACAATGCTGAAAATAACAAATAATTAATTAAAAGAATAGATAAATTATATCATTAATAAAAGTTATGAATTAAGATATGAGATTACCTTAAACCACCTCCATTTTTCGTCTATTGAATCCTCAGCAATTGGCTCAGGTTTCTTTAGGAGCTCTCGATTCAGTTTCATCATAGAAGTTAAGACCAAATTAAAATACCTACTAATAGTTTCACCAGACCTCCCAAAATAAAATCGTATAACTCTATTTTTTAAATGATGTGCAAGGATATGTAAGAACATTGCCACTTGCTCATCAACTAGCATGTTTTTGGTTGGTTTCAAACCTCCTATGACATCAAGCATAAGACATAGCTTGTCGAATGTGGCTCTATTCATTCTAAGCTGGTTATAACAAGTAATGTCACTGTTAGACACCAAGTTTCGTAAGTGGACTCTATTAGCATAGAAGTCTACCGTATATGGCCTTCGACTAATGCGATTCCTACGCAAGGCTATAGTGGTACAAATGGCAAAGAAACATTGATACATAGAGTGAAGAACATGCATCCACCAAATCATCAAATGAACTATCACATCTCTCATTTCTGGATCCATAACTGTAGGTTATAAATTTTAAAATATCAGGATAAAAAATTCTAAAACATCCAATAAATATCACTTCAATAGACTAGAAACAGTATAAAATTCTATAGGCAACAAAAACAGTATAAAATTCTAACATAAAGCCCATATTTAATAGACTAGAAAATCATGAAACTCTAGTAAATCATTTTAAATTAAACACACATTGTTGGTAAAGAAAAATGTTGAATACCACGAATAGGGTTATGTTAGCGTCAAACCTGGATGGACCAGAGTCAGTTTTCCTTATTACATGAGCAAAGAGGATTTTGAGTTCATACTAAGAGCCATGGAGTTTATAGCAGACTATGGCCAGAGATTCCTGCCCTTGTACAGCTTCAATCTGAGAAATGGAAGCTGGAGACCGAAAACAGAGGAACTTGGGAAGCATAGCAGACTATGGCCATTCAGTTTTTGGAAAAGGAAGGGACAACAAGAAGGAATGAGTCATACTTAGAAGCAGCAATGTATATGGCTAATCGGCTCCCAAAGTTCCCAGCTCAAGAGTATCATACCAGGGCACATGGACCCCAGTGTCCTTTATTTCAGAGTTTAATATTCTTTTTGCCTATACTGCATGCATACTTTGTGAATCTACAGAAATTTGATGACACGATGAGACAAGGAATTAATGAATGCTCTTTCAGCCTTCATGCTGTCATTATGGTCTTACCCTCAATATTCCTTCGAGTTAAACCCATACTAGTGAATCATTAAAGCATTTACGTACTTCTGGACTTCATTGATAAAGTCTGTTTGATTTATATTATGTGTAGCCTAATAAGAATAAATAACTAGACAATTCACCCACTGGGAAGCAACTCCGTGGCATTTGATCTGTTTAATTCTAATTAACTATAACCATTGAGGATAACGTACCAATAGGAGCAGAACAGATGTACAGTGTAGAGCAGGTTATTTGGGAAGAGTATAGTTGCATCTATGGTCAAACTATTGACAAGTCTATTTGTTTTTTTATTTGTAACGGGAATATCTACAAAGGATGAAAGGATAAGACAACTCACACATGAGTTATAGGATGCAAGGCACAAGAGAAGAAACAAAATTCAAAGATTCAGCAAAAAAATAAGGGAAAGAAGGGATGAAAGGATAAGGATCCGTGACTAGAGCCCCCAAAAGAGGAGAAGAGAAAGGTCTGCATAGGCAGACTTCAGAATGTACAGCTTGTGAAAAGCTTGCGAGATCTCCAAAATATACACACTTGAAACATCTATGTACAATAACGGGTTCCCTCAATAATGCAATCTACAACGTGTTTCTTTTTAGGGCAAATAATGCAGTCTAGTTAATGTTAAATATAATCAAGACGATGTCTCTGCATCAAACCGAAGCCTATGACAACCTGAAGTCCCACTAATATTTAAAATATTCTATTTATTTGTCACTATATGTATATCAGGGTGGAAAAACAACTTTCAAGTTTCAAACCTAGCTTCATAGCTTCGATTGATACCCAGAAAAGAACCTAGCTTAGACAGGGGAGGCGGCCGAAGGATATAAAATCACGGATGAAAAAGAATGGAGGAGGGAAGTCGATTGATACCCATACCTTGGTCGCGAAATCCAAAATATTTGTCCAGACCGCATCGTTCGTCGTCCGGCTCGTCTTCGATCTCACCACAGCTCTCGCCTTCTCTCGGTCTGCAACAAATCTTGCTTTCTCTCGCTCTGCCGCGACCAAGCGTGAGTGTGAGTGAGGTGAGGGTTTTATTTTTTTTGAGGGCAAATTTGTCTTTTTGAAATTTGTATGAGGGCAAAAGTGTCTTAAATATTACAATTCTATAGAATTGCTCCCAATTCCATAGATTTATATAAGGAATTCAATTCAGCTTTTTTCCATAGAATTAGGATTCCCAAGAATTATAATTCATATCTACCAAACATCACTTTATTTAGATTCCTATCCCAATTCCATTTCCATCTTCACAATTCCAACCTACCAAACATGGCAATAGTTCTTAGTTGGCTTAGGATCAATCAATAAATAAATAAGGCCCATTTAAAGATATCAATCAAATATTCAAGTGAGATTGAGTAGCATCCTGAGACCGGGTCCCTCAAATGATTTTGTTTTCAACTGAAAATGGCCCTTCAGTCTTGACATGAAACTCAAACGTCTACGTATACTAATCTAAAGCTCGGCTCCACCACTTTCAGGTTTTAAACATTGCTCGAGCTTTAGATAAATCGGGTGGATATAATTCATCATTAGGCGTTAGTTTAATAGTAAAGAGTTTGAATTTGAATAATTTAACTAATGGATTTAACTTCTAACTTTTGTTCTGTCACGCATGGTAAAAAAGAAAACACCAAGAAAATGAAATTACACTTAAATCATAATCAATCACAATATTTTTATGAAAATGATGAAAAAAATTACGTAAATCATAAATATTGTATCTCATCTCAAATTTCGTCTTAATATAATAAACCATTTTTATTGTACTAAATACGATTTTAAAAAATTAAAATGGAATGGCCGAGCTCTTAAAAAGAATCAATGAATTAGTCATCATTCGGAATTAATATATATATATATATATATCAACATTTCAATATCAACGTGTGACATAAAATTCATTAAATACTTCACAGGTCCTAAGAAATGCAAGTCACTCCTCTGTGTCAACAATCGACCTTTTCCTTATGATAATAGATCATGGAAATATAGTTGTGATGAGCATAAAATTACAAATTGTCAATTAAAAACCATCGACCAATTTAGATATTGAATTAGTCAACACTTTTTTTTTTCCTTTGTTTAATTCTTTGCTTGAGAGGCTCGCTTCCGTTGCTTAAAAAATGCCCGACACGCAGATTCTGCTTGGGCGTCCAAATTTACCAAGCCAACCATCTAATGAACAACACTTTAGTGGCTTCGAATCATTGCCTTTTTACCTACGCTGAGGGGAAAAAAAAAAAAGCACGGTCATGTTTGTCGTGTGGATTAAATCTATATGGATCGACTATCCTTAATCAGTTCATTTCTTCTCTTACATATACTCCCAAAAGGGTGGGGGGTGAAGGTGGTGAGTACGATGAAATGAAACATTTTCATTTTTTTACTAAATAAATATCTGATGTAACCATCCACGATGTATGCATGGTGGTTGTCCCTTTAGAAAAAGCCTGAAACCTGGAACGGATGGGGAATCTATCTTCACTGTCTTTTTAGTGCGCTCAAGTAGAGGAAGAGAGTTTGTTGCATGTTTTGTTTCAACCACAAGAAAGCTGAGAGACGACAAGCATGGTAAATTATTGGGATACGAAAGCACAAGGGCTAAGAAAAAGGAGACTGCATGTACATATATACATATATATTAGTATCTTCTTTAATAACAAAAGGAGGCCGGAGCCTGGAGGCTGAAGCTTGAATTCAAAAAGGCCATAGGGACCCTGGGGATACAGGGGAAAACGATAAAACGTAAATATATAATGAAAAAGGGTATAAAAAGGGAAGAGAGAAAAGATAGAAGCATGTGAAGGTTGATATAGGGAAGAAAAGATGAAGAGAGAGAAGAGAGCCTTGGATTCTACGTTTCCGAAGGCTTTAATCTTGTTATGGGACACAAATGGGAGAGTCCAATATAAGAGGAAGGAGGCAAATAGAGAGGCAAGTTCATGTTCAACAAACAAAAAATACATAGTCCATTATTCTCTCTCTCTTCTCCTGTGCTTCCTAATTATGTGTGTTTGTTGGCCTGTCGTTCTCATGTCTGTCTGATCCAAATATTCACTCTCTCTCTCTCACCATCTTCTTTCTTTCTTCCTTCCCTTCGTTCACTTTTCCACAATATTCTCTTCAACCAAATAATTTCCATATCTCTTTATCCTTTTCCTCTGCACTCCCTGCGCCTTTACTATAAATCACGACATCCTAACAGCTCACCAACATACACATTTCAGATATAATCAATTTATCTCCCAAACATGTTGTTGGCTGATCTTGCTCAGGGCTAACAGAGCATGGGACAAACATGAGATTTGGTCGTCTAATTAATATTGTTGTGAGATAGGTAGTCAACTAGTCATATATTTGATATTCACTTGTCGTCCAAACTGATGTATCAGTCACTTGAATTTGTGGGCAGTATTCCCGTTTTTTTCCTGTAACTCTTAAAAAAAAGGTTCATGCAATAGATAGATGTGAATAAACACAATACACACGCATGAAGGCAACTTCACTCCGTATATATATTGTAGAGAAAGGGGGCCTGAGTTAAGTGTACGTGGATTTCATGAGTTTACTTATAAGTTATTTTTCATATGTTTTTCTATAAATAAGCAAAATTTAAGCCTCATTTTTTTTATATTAAAATTTCAAAATTTTTTACCTCTATCTCTAATAAGAATAAAGAAAATTATTTTTAATAATTTTTCCTGACATTTAATAAGGATAGAAAAGTAAAGATGAATATAAAAAAATAATAAAGTATCCTATACATAAGATCAAAATTAATTTTTTCTCTGTCATATAAATAAGACCATATGAGTAATTAAGTATATACATTACAGTTATAGGGTTTTATCAACATTTGAAAATATATGCTTGATGAATAATAAATAAAATGATAATTTAAAAGGGTAATTTTATGAAAAAGCATTTTAACTATGGAAAAATTATATTTAAGTCTCACATAAAAAAAATTTATTATCAATAAGTCTCATAAAATTCACAAGATACTTTTAAATTTCAAATTCTGTACATTTACAATTTAATTAAGGGCATTAACAATTAAGCAACGGTCATTTATCATTTTTCTTTATGAGTTATAAATGACCATTGCTCAATTATCAATATCCTTAATTAAGTTGTAAATGCGCAAGATTTGAGGCTTGAAAGATTTTGTAAATTTTATAGAACCTTTTAATAATAAATTTTTTTATGTAAGACTTAGATGTGTTTTCTCTTTAACTATTTATGTGCAACAATATAATATAGTAAAAGGTACAGCTATGATTTAGTATTCTCTTTATATTTTTTGCCTGCATAAACCTGCACACCATTTGATTAAATCAACTATTTCTACAATGCTATGTGGGACACCTGTATAGGACAGGATTTGGAACAATTACCAAATCTGTATCCAAGTTAAGTATTTCTACTGTCCAAAATTATAAAATAATTTTCAGAAAAATTTATTTATTTTAAATATAAGATACTTTAAGAAGATTAAGATTTTATTGAATAGATTTATTTCAATATTACCTTCCCCCCTCTCTATTTAATAATAATTAGGTGTAGATTTAAGGTCGTTAAATGAAAGATACTTTTAAAAATTTATATTTTTATTTTAAAAAAATAAAATTTTTAAATATATTTAATGAAATTTATTATTATGTTAAGATTTTATTTTAAAATATTTTATAATTTAGGACCGTGCAGGTATAAAGAAAACACAAGTCACAATCCGAGAAACGGTCAATATTGCCATTATCGTTACTGGTGTTTGGATAGTGGGAATAGATGTTTGCCCGGCCTGGGAATAGACTCTCACGTAAATATATATACTTGCAGGGATTATGGGCCCCTGGTGAAGTTGGGGGATGGTGAAGTTGTCTGAGAGAGTATAGTGATGTTTTTAGGGTCTTTTAATTAAACTCAAACGCCTAAATATTTTTAGTGTCGTTTCTTCCAACGTTTCAGAGAATAATTCAGGGTCCCTTGATTTGAGGGGATCCACTTCTATTACTTCCACCAGCAGTCTAGTATCATTGTGATTCTTACCAAATATCATTTTACTTAACTATCATCGGCAAATCATGTGGCCATCAATCACGTTAGGATAATGACTACTTTAATTAGTCCTCCAGATATTCATGGATAAAAGCAATGATAAAGTCTCTATATCAACAATCAACAATTATTCTAATAAGTTGCACTGAAGAACACAACTAATTATCATCAGAGATAATATCCCAACTTCACACACACACACACACAGTGGGCGTATACTTTTGGTTAGTAGAAATCTTGTCTCGTTAACAAATCTCAAGTTTGTGGGCAACGACTAAATAAAAATCAATGTTTTGTTCAAGATCACAAAAGCTCAAATAAATATGCCATAAACATATATGCTCCCACCTCCTTGCTCTTGCTCATCCTTCATTTGTTCAGGCTCTTCTCTCTTTAGATACAGAAGCAGATCTAAATACTCCACGTCTATCTGATAAATGCACTTCATATAAATATGAGCCCACGATGTGGATTGGACTGACAATAAATCTTGCGGCAATGAGATATACTTCAATATGGGCTATATTGGGTTCAGGATAATGGGCCTTCCTTATAAAGAAGAAATCAAATGGGAGGGAGCCACGTGGGAGATGGATAGCGAATGGTGGATGGTGAGTGGCGAGAGGTGAGTGGCCGTGTGTGGCTCGGAAGTTGGCAGACTCTCTGCGCTGCGGAGGATTGGAGTCTGTTTTCTGGCTGGGTGCTACCCAAATCATTTTCAAGGTTTAGTTAAGACAGAAAGATCGAAGGGAGTAGGAAAAAAAATGACATTAGCTCCTTCTCTGCCTCGCTTCCATTCCCCCTTCCTCTGTTGCCCTCTGAAATCCACTTCCCTCTGCAAGTCTTTCCCAATTCAGCGTAAACCCACATCATTTCCATGTATCAGAGCTATCGAATTCGATCAAAACACGGTTCCTCCACCTTCCTCTTCTTCTTCTTTACTCATTTCATATCTGTTGCTTCTTTATTTTGTATGAATTCTCGTTCGATTTGATGTTTTCCCCTTTTTCAGGTGGTGGCTGTATCCGTTGGTCTTGTGAGTGTGGCCATCGGGATTGGCATTCCAGTGTTCTACGAATCCCAAATCGATAATGCTGTATGTATCTTGCTTTCGCCATTCTATATGGTATTCTCATTTCAGTTTTGCTGCACCTTTCTAGTGTATTATAAATTTTATGGGACATTCATTCTCTTGGGTGCAGGCTAAGAGAGAAAACACCCAGCCTTGCTTCCCATGCAATGGTTCTGGCGCACGTGAGTCTTCCATATCTTTATTTATTTCTGGGACTCGGGATTCTCGCAGAATATTTTATGTCTTCAATCGCATTCCTAGGGCAAATTACTGAGTAATCTGGGATAATTGTAGCTGTAGACTAAGTCCAATGATGTGAGGACTACTGTTGAGAGAAGGGATTTAACTCCACTGTAATGAATGCATATCAATCACTGTTTGTTCCTAGCAGAAATGTCCGATTGTTCCCCATTCCAAAGAGAATTTCATTTTTTAAACATATTTCTCTTCAGAGTATGAACTAGGAGAATCTCAGGTTCAACCATTTTAGTGCGCATGACATTAGGCTGTGATCAGTTCAAGTTACAGTGAGAGATTAATTGCTTGTTCAGCTGTAGCCAGGGTAACAATTCTTACCTAAGACTTGTCCATTTTGTACTTTTCACTAGTAGGAAACGAAGATAAATCCTCATATGCAGCTTTTATGCCATAAGTTGCTCAAAATTTCAAAAACAAGCCCCCTTTGTTAAAGTTCACAACCAATTGCATCACAAACTTCCAGCTTCAAACTTCAAAAGGAAATTTTGCCACTGTTCTGTATTTACTTACAACTATTTAATTAGGACAATGACAGATTGGTTCCAATGGGCCCAATTAATTCAACTTATCTCTCAAATGCCAAATTTTAAGAATTTGCAAGTTCATTTTTTAATTCTACAATTTAATTGTAATGAATTTGCAACTTGTATTTCAAATTTTAGTAGCAAAAACAAATTTGTTTATTCTTTAATTAAAATTTAAAAGTTGCAAATTCATTATAATGGAATTGTAAAATTGAGAGCTGAACTTGCATGTTCCTAGAGTTTGACATTTGAAACTTAAGTTGAATCAAAAGGACTTCTTTGTCATTCTCCCTATTTAACTCTCTCCGTACTGTAGCACTCCTGAGATATACTAATCCGTGTATTTACTAATCTAAACTTGCCACACTGTTTCTCAGAGAGATGCAGATTCTGCATGGGAACAGGGAGCGTGACAGTAGAGCTTGGTGGGGATGAGGAAGAGGTGTCTCGATGCATAAATTGCGATGGTGCCGGTTCATTGACATGCACTACTTGTCAAGGAACCGGAATTCAACCTCGCTACCTTGACCGTAGGTATGGATGAATTTTCTTTTTCTTTTGTTTTTTTTTTTTGGTCTGACTTTTCCCCTCCATTGTACACTAGTTTTACACGGTACACTATAAGGCTGTGATGTCTATTTGAGCATGTTGAAGCCGTGTGAAATGAGATCTTTGTTTTCCAACAAAAGTTTAAGATATCACGGTTAACTGTGTCAGCTTATCTCGTGAAATTTGAAAATGTTGGTGCTGAGGTCTTGAATAGTATTGTAAAACGCTGTTTTCATGTTGAACAGAGAATTCAAAGATGATGATTGAGCTCAACAAAGACGAGGCAGGAAATTTGGAATTACTCATGAGGCCAATGTACTGATTGGATTTCTTTGCTGTATACATACTTCATCAAAATGTACAAATTGCATTCATGTTTTAATTTTTGTTTGCCTCTTTATCAGTGATACAATGCTTCCTCCCTTTCGTGACTTATCACTCTGTAAAATTTTTGAAGCGATTAGTATTTTGTTATTCGATTCTTTTCTATACTTGAAATTTGAAATCGAAATTATATCATCTTAAATGTGTTCATTTTACCGATGATTATGATCTCAACAATCAATAGGTGGCTTCTCTCCATTCCCTGAAAGTTTTCATATTAGTTTGTAGAGTTTATACGAGAGCTAACTGTCGTATAGCTAACATTGCGGAATTCCCGTTCTATTGAGCCCAGGTTTGGGAATGTTTGAAGGGATAACCGGATAAGCATATTTTGGATCTTGAAATGAACCTGCTTTTGTTTTCTTTATCTTGTGCCAAATAAAACGGACGAGGGAAGCCCTCCGCAGCCATCCAGATTTATTTGAATGGTCTAGATTTAATCTTTTTTTTAATTTTATTTTATTAAAATAAAAAATTGGATAAACTAAACAAAAATTTAATAAATCTTTTTATCAGTTTAGACAATCCAAATTTATAAAGGAAATTAGCTTAATGGCTTCAAAAAGTATAGCTTTCATAAATTATGAAGAAGATTTTTAAATGTTTTAAAATATGATCCATTCATAAAATTAATTAGATATATTTTATTTTTTTACCTTTAGATTAAATTTATTATTAAAATATATATATATATATATATATATATATTATAACTAATCCTTAACTGATTGAATCTTTATTTTTTTTCTCTAAATCATTCATTTTTTCTCTTAATATAAAATTGCTAGTGCTTTTTTTTCATCTTAGAGTTTTTCTTCTCTTTCTCTCTATTTTTCCTAAGAATATTATGAAGAGAACATTACATATTGAATAGAAATTTTCATTTTTGAAAGTAAAAGATTAGGTTGGAATCTATTATCTGTTATCAAATTTTAGTATTTTCACATTTTTTTAGTAAGATTGAATTTTTTGCAGACTGTGTTTAATTCAATTTGAGCAAATTATTATGTATTTTTTGTATTGTTGATCTGTAATACTACCTCATTGACATACATACATACATACATACATACATACATACATACATACATACATACATACATACATACATATATATATATATATATTAATGATAAATAAGCTCATGTTTGATTGTCTAATTATTTTGATCTGCAATAGTATATCAATGATATACAGAAGCATATGAATGATATAATATCGTGAATTAGTAATATGAAAAGCACATAATCATTTGCCCAAAAACAGATCAAATACGATCCATAAAAATTTTTGGATTCTTAGTTTATTACAGAGAGTCAAATGCCTAAACTAATAAAATAAAAAATATGAATATATTGCTCCATTTTCCCACCAATGTGCTTCGTTTTGTCTAGTATCGTTGATGTATCTCACCTTACATTTGTCTCTCGTAATCGTGATTATGGCTCGCTCACACTGCTCTACTGTCTCGTGTTCATCTCTCTTGCATGCAATTTCATCTTCTTTCTGCATTCATCTTGAACTAGGCCATTTTAGACTATATATCTCACATTCATTGCGTTCAGTTACAAAGATTTCTTGCATTTTGAATCTTTTAACATTTGCAAAAAGCAGATATTAAAAGGATAGTTTTATAAATTAATTATAAACTAATTATTAAAAAGGTCATTTTTAAAATTTAAGAAAGGATAGGCTATTTTTTTTTACTTAATTTTATGATATGGGTTATGTATGCAAAAGCCACTTTAATATATAAAATCTAGATATAATATTAAAAAATTTAATATTTAAGCTGCATTATCCAAAACATATCTAGATAGTTAATTTATAAAAAATAAAAATTTTAATATTAAAGCTACAATATTATATCTAAATCATATATATTAAATTTGGACCATTTAATTTTATAAAAAGATTTACTAAAATTTTTCATAGTTTATATAAATTTTTATTTTAATAAAATAAAATAAAATAAAAAAGATTACATCTGGACCATTCAAATAAATTTGGATGGTCTATGTTTACTTTCAGCTGCAGTGGAAGAGGGAAGCTAAGTCCAAATGAAACAAAGGGCAGCCAGAAAACATAGTTATTGACTTGTTCAAATAAGTACTTGGTTTCTTTTTTAAAAAATTATGCACTTATTATATTTTAATTAAAATTTTTTGAATAAACTCTAATAATAAAGACATAAGAAAATTGATTTAGGTTAATCATTTTTTGGAAAGTTTAATCCTTTTTTAATTTCTCTGGATCACTGCCCTGCATTGTTTGAATGAGAAGTTATGCAATATATATTTTTTTGACCATGAAGTTATGCAATATTTAATTTTTGGATTTTAAGATTTATTATTCTTTAAAATTGGTTTATCCTAAAATGTTTTATAAATATTTTTTTTTTGCCACTAGCATAGATAAAACCTTAAAATTAAATACACGAAGGCCTAAATTTTTTTTGGATAAAGAGGAGGATCAGAGCCTTATTGCGTTAAAACAAAAAAGCTAAAATTTTGAATTTGATAGCCAAAAATGCAAAGGTAAGAACTCATTTCAATTAATTCACTTATATCAGACTTGACTTCTCTTTATTTTTTTTTTACTTTTTATTTTAACTATTAAATTTATTTTTAAATAGTTGAAATATAAAATATAACTAATTTAATCTAGACTAAAATTTAAGATTTAGGATTATAATCAAAAAATAAAAAAAATTAATTTTATAAAGTATTAAATATTAACCATTTAAAAATGAATTTAATAATTAAGATGAGTAGTGAAGAGAAAATAAAAAGCAGGGGAAACGGGGTGAAGCTAAGTCCACTTATATTAGGGAAACCCTACTTCAAACCGAGGCCCAAAACGACGTTGAAATCATACAAACGAAAAGAAGGACAGGGTCGCTTTGTTTTCTTCCCGGCAAGCCGCTCTGGCACTCCACTCCACATTTCCCAGGTGAACGACAACATAGTAGAGTTCTGATCCCATAAGGATGTTGTACATAATCGGTTTGGGATTGGGTGACGAGCGAGACATCACGCTGAAGGGCTTAGAAGCAGTGAGAAAATGTCAGAAAGTATACATGGAAGCCTACACTTCCCTCCTTTCATTTGGTCTCTCTACTGATGGCCTTTCTAACCTGGTATCTTACCTTCCCTCTTTCTTTCAATTTAAAGCTCCTTTTTTTCCTTTTGAGTTTCTCGTTTTAGGTCGGAATTTTACTCGAGCTTTCCCCATAGGAAAAATTATACGGTAAAGCCATAACTCTAGCGGACCGAGAAATGGTTGAAGAAAAAGCGGATGACATACTTTCAGACTCTCGGGATGTTGATGTGGCCTTTCTCGTTGTTGGAGACCCTTTTGGGTATGTTTCCTTTGATATTAAATCACTGTTTACATTTATGTTATATGGCAAGTGGAAAACTAAGCTGTTGATCTTTGCTGCATTATGTTATGAAGTAGAACGCGGAGCAAATTTATTGCAAGTATTGAGTTTCCGCGAAATAGAGATTGAAGTATGTGTTAACACTGATGTCAATTCTGGTCTATGTTTTCCTATCGGTGATGAGGATTCTTCATGGAAGTACCTGCATTTTTCCTTTTTTGATGATCTTATATTGGCTTCTATACCCAGGGCAACAACTCACACCGATCTAGTTGTTCGAGCTAAGAAAATGGGAATTGATGTCAAGATAGTGCACAATGCTTCCGTGATGAATGCAATTGGGATTTGTGGACTTCAACTTTACCGCTATGGGGAGACCGTTTCAATACCATTCTTTACTGAGACATGGAGACCTGATAGCTTCTATGAAAAGATTCAAAAAAATCTAGAGATGGGACTTCACACGCTTTGCTTATTAGGTTGGTGTCTGATAACAATTGGCTGTTAGGCATTTCTATGAATCGAATTTCCAATAGTGTTAACAGTGAAGAAATTGCTGTTGCCTCTGAAAAACCTTTTAACATTTTAAGTCCAACAATTGTTTGCCAACTCATTTCGAAACTGCTGCCTTTGAAGTCTAAGTAGTGCAATAATGCAATAGGTTGATGCAAATGTAAGAGGGAATTGGTTTTGGTATATGAATGTGAACCCTGCTTATTCCTGCATTTGTTTATAAGCATAGCATATAACTTAACTCATTGAGATGAAGTTATTAACTACCTTCTTGACCTGGAACATCAAAGCCTAAATCATATGATTATCTAATAAGCAGTAAGCCATTATTATAACATTGAAGTCAATGAGAGCACTAGAAGCCATTCTTTTCTTGTAGGCTCGACAAATTACCTTGATCACCAAATTTTCATGAAGAAATGACCATTTTTTGCAACCTGCTACAAAGGTTCTCCCTGTCTGTTACTGAGAAAATCTAGTCCATATTATCTTATATTCTTTTGGAATGGTTACAGATATACGTGTGAAGGAGCCGTCATTAGAATCTTTGTGCAGGTTAGATTCTATTTGATTGACTCAGTGGTGTAGTTGCTGCAGTTTCCGAGTGTTTCTGCACTTCACCATGGCATAAGAGTAATTAATTGTATCTGATAAAATACTCTTTTTCTTTCTATCATCTTTGGTGCACTTTCAGCGGAAGAAAAATCTATGAACCACCTAGATATATGACAATAAACATAGCCATTGAGCAGCTCTTGGAGATTGGGCAAGCACATGAAGAACCTGGTTAGTTCCTTGACCATTGAGGTCTCTAGCTTTTTGAAGACTAGATTAGTTATATGTTCTTGATGCTGCCAACATTCAATGATTGAAAGCTAGATGTGGTCATGTGGATTGTGCTTTGTCTGCTTTAAAAACGTCATAATAAATGCATCATCAGATTCTTTTTTCTTCCAAAAATATTGATCTATCAATAAATTTATCACTGTATGAGATACTCCCTCCAGTCTTATTTATAAGTCATTTTTACCAACTATCAATACCAATACAACAAAAGTATGAGGAATAAAGTTTGGTAAAATTACAAACATAACTCGCAAAAAGTAAATAAACTATATAATATTATTTTTTTGTTTCTCTCTCTTTTACTTTTTAAGGTAGTTTGGACATTTCATTTGAAACAAAAAATTATTATCAATTCAATGGCTTATAAAGTGGACCATTTTTCCCTTATAGAAAGTGACCAATAAAGTAGACCTGGAGGGAGTATTGTGTTGCTATTTTTCATTGTGTTAACAAGAACATTTATAGCAGAGATATCACTTGGGTTGTCAATATGATTGGATATACACGATAAGAGTACATATTCTTCGTTGGCCATAGTTAAGGTTTCTGGTTGTTCATACACCCTTGGCCTGCAATTCATATATCAATTTATGACTTGACCTTGCAGCATACACAGAAGATACAGAGTGTGTTGGGTTTGCTCGGTTAGGAAGTGAAGATCAGATGATAGTAGCAGGTACAATGAGGCAGCTTCAGAGAATTGATTTTGGTGCACCTTTGCATTGCCTTGTCATAATTGGCAAGACACATCCGTTGGAAGAAGAAGTGCTCGATTTTTACAGATGTAGGACCCAGTCACAACAAGCATAGTTGTCACATTGGCTGAGGAATTGAATGCTTCGCTTAAAACTATTAGTTCTGAATGCAGAAAAGTGGGGCTGTTGATAAATGCTTTTTATGCATGACTACTTTTAGTTAAGACTTGCAGTTTGATTAAAATTCAGATATGCTTCTAGAGAACATTATGTATGCACCCAAGGCTGCCTGATTATTGAGAGAGAGAAAAGCCTCTGTTGCCCCCATCGGGTCACGTGTAAAGAAATTAAATGGGCTAGAGGTGGGGACATGACTGAAATTTGTTGAAAGATCCTGTACGAAACGATTCCACATGATTACTAAAGCTAGCGGAAATCCGTCGTCAGTCAAGAGATCATGTTTCATGTAACAAAGACACAAACGTCAAAATGTACAAGTGCGTTTGAAAAAAAAAAAAGTCACAAGACTTTGAAATTGTCAATCGATCCCTCTAAAAAAATCGCTGATCATATCATTGACTGAGAAGGCTAGTGGAACAAGCCACTGCACCTTACCAAAAATTTAAACTTGTAAATTTGATTTCTAGAAAGATGTTCATTGGGCACTATTACTAACTAGTTTCATTGAATGCGGCTGTGAACACGAATGGCATCGGAGGACGATCAGAGGTCATGAGTGCTTGAGTTGACATACAAAATGAATTAATCTAAAAGCATAAACAGAGAATTATTGCAGAAAGCTTGGTTGCGGTTTTCAACGATGTGGATGTGGACGTTAGAGCCCTTGTCCTTTGAAAATTCGAGTGATTTTCATTTTCAGATTGTCGACTCTGTTTGACGATGATTTCATATATGACTAACTGGAGAATTATAGAGATGGAAGCCACATTTGAAATCATTGAATAAAAGTTTCGAACAAAATGGTTCTATCTTTGCAAGCAACCTTTTGGTGGGACATTACTCCACATCATCTCGTATTAATTAAACTTCATGTTTAATCACTCTTCTTTTTGACCAAAACAAAAGGAAGTGCACTCAGTACCAGACTAATGACCATATGGTTCCCACTTCACACTCGGTGCTTATCCACAACCACGATCCAAGATTAAGAAGTCGGAAAAACAACACACAGTTCATCTATTAACCTCCACAGATGATCATCATTGTATCCACAAAAATATCGTGAATAGGATGCCACTTACTGGGAATTATATTGGGAAATAAAATCCCAAACTAAAACGCATCGGGACTGTAGAAATATCTACACGCAGAGTACAGAACTGTTGAGTGTGGACCAATTCAGCAAGCCAACTTTGGATTGGGTTATGCAGGTACGGAAGCCACGTGATGAGGTTAACTTGCTAAGTGAATAGTATGGTCCCTCACCAACCACAACAAGTGGGAACTAATATGGTAGTTCATAATCATGTCAACATTCTTAGAATTTCCATTCTAATTGTGTTCGTTTTAATAATTGCCTCCGTCCTTTTCCATCCATATCAATCTCTTTTGATTGAAAGCTGTATTTAACAACCCATCTGCTCATTCTAGTTTTTAAGCAAATAATAATTTATCAAAACAATGATCACCGACGCCAGACGTACAAGTGGACTTCACAATGTCTTCCATTTCAATCGCCCATTTCTTGTCAGATAATGCACAGTTAACTCATAATTAAAAAAAATACACCGTCTCGTCTCGAAGACAATTGAAAAAAGCAACAAAAACTACACAGTTAATCGTAAGCATGAAGAAACTAAAGAGAGTGATCGATACAAAAAAAAAATCTGGGGAACTGTGAAGCTGGCATCTACAGTCTACAAGATTGTGTGTGTAGGTTCAAATTAATATAGACCAGACGTGCGATGGCTGATGAACATAGAGAGAGATACAGTCAACGATAAATGTCTGACATGGCGGTTTGAGAGTGAGCCAAGTGTTGCTCCATCTCCCAGCTGAGCTTGGCGGCCTCGCCACGGTGCTTGGGCTCGTATTCCTGGTCAAAGAAATGGACGTCTCAGATGAATTTGACAAATTGAGAGAGGGACCCACAGTGAGGTCTCACGTGAGCCACGTGTACGCAATCTAAAATCCGACAAAAGCAACCACACTCATGACTGGAATTTGCATAATAGTATAGTATATACCTCGAGCTTGCACATGAGTTCTTGGGCAGTCTGGGCAGACACGATGATGTGACGGGCAGCCGGGGTCACGAAGCCTTCGTCCACAGCTTTATCTATGAATGACAGCAGTGAGTTGTAGTACCCATCTACGTTCAACAAGCCCACCTGCGTCCATTTTAAATTCTTTTAATTAATTATAGCGCTTTAACTACACATTAATAGTATCAATGATTAGAAGCTATCTGAGAAACTTCCTTCCTCATCAGAATTCTAAAATTAGTTGGACATGTGAGTCCTAAAATCCCGGAATTTTGGCGACGAGTTTCGTGACGTTTCGAGATCTTACTGGTTTATCGTGGATTCCCAGTTGAGCCCAGGTGATCACTTCCAAGAGCTCTTCAAGGGTTCCATATCCTCCTGCACAAATATATGCTTCTTTAATGACTTGGTTTACAATCGTGTGATGGTGATGAATGTTGAATACTGAAAATGGAAGTGAAATAAAACCTGGGAGAGCGATGAAAGCGTCGGCTTGTCGAGCCATTTCGGCCTTACGCTGGTGCATCCCCGACACCGCTCGAACTTCGCCTACTGGCTCTCCGGTGATCTGAATGAAACCCATTCGCTTCATTAAGTTAATTTTCTCTTACAAATTTTGAGATTCAATAATGATGGTGGTGCTGATCATTACCTCTCTTGGCATAAGAGTCTTGGGAATCACTCTGCAGCAGCAACAACAACAACAACAACATCATCGATAATCACCAGCGTCATAATCAGAGGAAGAAAGTGATGCGAAACAGGGAAAGGAGAAAGATGAGAAGTAACAATGGTTTACCCTAACACGTGGCGACCACCATCAAAGACGGCCTGAGAGACGAGACCCATCAAGCCGATGCTCCCTCCTCCATAAACCAAATCAATATTCCTCTCCACCTGCATTCCATTTTCACAACCTTCGTCCGTTAATCACAGGGTTTGAGAAATTTTAGTGGCAAAAACAGGGTACTCTGCTTCTGTGCAGAGGTTGTGATTTCGTGATTCCAAAGCACTGGTTTGAACCCAGATTCTCAACTCTCAAGCAAATAACAGGATTAAATTAAAATTGAGTGTTGAAGATTAAGGAAAGAAGAGGAAAAGGGAATATGGATTACAAGTTGTTTAGCGAGCTGAATAGCAGCGAGCTGGTAGCTGGGGTTCTTGCCGTGGCTGCTGCCACAGAAGACGCAGATGCGTCGGAACCTTGACTTGACGGGTTGCTCTTCCTTATTAGCCATAAACAGAAAAGACCTTGCACTATGGGGTGTGCACAGAAATGGTTGGGTTTTGGTGTGAGAAATTTGTGTGTGTGGAGGGATATAAATAGAGGCACAGGACGAGAGAGAAAGAGAGAAGAGAAGAGAGAGAGAGAGAGTTTGTTATTATATGTCAAAGCGCGCAGGCAGCGATGGCTTCTTCGAAAGGCAAAAGAAAGCGCCCAAAAGTGAGGGAATGAGAAATGGTGTCCTTCATCGCCATTGGTCCGTCTTTTATAGCAGTATCATTATCCGGCTCCGCCTCCATTTATCTCGTCATTTCTCAATTTCTCTTTTCCCGATATTTTCACCTTTATTCTTTAATCTTTTTTCGCCAGGCCCATGTATTCGTGTTCATATTCAAGGGTCATGTGTAATTGGATTTTTAAAATTAATAAATATTAAGTATTATTAACTTGATAGTTTTATAAAAATTAATACTATACGATAATTATAAATAAATAATAATTATAATAATAAAAGTCTAAACTGTAAATTAAAAAATAATAATTATAATAATAAAAGTCTAAACTGTAAATCAATAACAACTTATAAAAAATATGAATATTTTGTTTTATAAAAAATATTTTTCATGATATATAAATAACTTGTTTTACTTTAGCGTTTGTTGCTCCTAATGCATATGTAAAATATAAAAAATGTTATTCCTCTTTTTTACTGTGCACAAACGTCATCCTATTGTAAGTAATTTTGTTCAAACCTTGATTGGGTATTAAATGTGTATATTTTTTTAAAAAAGATGTAAACATCGATTTTTCATGTTATAAAAAATTAATCTTTTTCACTAAATCTAATATGGTAATAATTAAATGCTCTTAGAAAAATTTCAAACAATGTTTTAATTAGCTTTTTAAGCAAATTTTACTAAAAAGCAAGAAAGTGAAAAGTGATAATATCCAAAACTATTAATCTAAGGGAAGGCCTAAGTAATGTGTGAAGGGTGGCCCCCGAACTTTTTTTTTTCCCCAAAGAGGTATAAATTTTATGTTCATAGCATATCTTTCAATCACGACTCTATTTAAAAATATTTTTGGATTTAGATAACAAGGTTTTTGGACGTTTTTAATTAAGGCTTGTTTCAAATGATTTTAGTGAGTTTGGTAGGTTTTACAATGTTTCAAAAGGATGGAGTCAATTTTAAGAAGAGGTTGTTTTATCTAAATACAGACTCAGCCACACTGAGAGAGAGGTAAAAAAGTAAATGCCAGTATCAACAAATTATGATGTGTGAGAGAGAGAAAGCAAGTTGAAATGAAAGAGGTTATCAAAATTTAAGTTATATTCTGCATGGTCTTATTTAAATAAAATCTTATTTATAGGCATATTATTAATTTTTTATCACTGTTTTTCTTTCATCCTATTAAGATGAAGGGAAAAGTGAAGAGAAAATAAAGATGAGAAAAATCTAGAATCAAAAATTTTCAAAAATAAATTTTTTGGCTAGAATATATAAAACTCTCATAAACTTTAAGTCAGTTGCATATAAATTCTATCACATTTAAAAATATAAAATTAGCCTCCCAAGTCCTTTTTTTTTTACCACAATATCCTCTATTGTTATTTCTTAGTAATCTTACTAATAGAAATTGTCATTTCACATTAAAAAAAAAAGACAAATAGCAACTTATATGGTATTTAATATAAGTTAATAATAACAAAAAAAGATTGATAAAATTGTTATAAAACTATTATTAGTTTACATTGAATAGTTTATTATAAGATAAAAAGATAAAAATACTTAAGAAGTTGTCAACCAGTAGCCTAAAATGAGAAAAAAGTACATGGGTGCTCATAAAGTTATTTTTTCTGTGCATCTATGACTAAATCATTAAATTTTATATCCAAAATATAATGGTTAATGTCTTTGACTTTTAATATTTTGGTTACATATGCACCAAAAAAATAATTTCATAAATACTCATGTATTTTTTCTCACTTTAAATTATTGGATGTTCCTAACCTATAACATTTTAAGTATTTTTTCTCATTTACCCTATATTATAAATTAATTGCTACCTGTTTTTTTTTTTGTTAATATGACATGACTACTTTTGTTAGTATGATAACTAAAAAATAACCGTAGAGTAGTTTGAAATGTAAAAAAAAATTAAGAAAATTAATTTTAAACTTTAAAAGATGAAAGATTATCTACAACTATTTTAAAATTCAAAAGATTTTATATTTTAGCCTAAATGTTTTTGCTATTTTTTAGGAGCTTTCTCTCTTAATTTTCTTTCCTCTCCAATGTTGGTTAGAAAAAAAAATGCGTTAACAAAGTACTTCCATGAGAGTAAAGTTGAAAAACGTATTGAGTATTTAAAAAGAGTTAATAATTTTTAAAATTTTTATTACTAAAAAAAAAAGCAATTTTTAAATTTTTTTATTGCTATACAACATATTAGAATGCTTTAAAAATAAAACGGATAAAATATATATACGTAGTTACTTGTTCCAGATGGGCAACCCAACTTTGGCTCTCTTAAAATCTTAATCAAGCTGGTTTCGCCTCTCTATTCATCAACACTAATCATATATTATGGATAGATGATTGCGATTGATATACTTCACATTCTTCTCACTCCCAATACGGACGTTATGCCTTTTTTCCTTAATCCCAGTCGTGATTCAGATACCAAAACAAAGTCCCAATCATGCGGTTATTTTAAATTCCGTATTTGCTCCCAGCAATTTGTATTGGCTGGCGGCACCCAGACCCAGTCATGATCACAAGTATCGATTTTTAGTTTTTCTATATACATGGATATATATAATTTGTTTATTTATCTGAAAACTTGATTCTTTATCATTATCATTATTATTATTATTATTTGAATAATTCTACGGGCGAAGGAGCTCCATTAGATGGAGTATTTGTTAAATCTGTTTCATAATACTGCACCGATTTGATGCGTCCTTTTCATATACGCCCTTGCCAAACTGTGCGAGATAACGAGAGGGCATGCATACGACTTTTTTTTCCGCCCTTTGTAAAAACCCTAACTAAACTTTTCGTTTTATTTATGGGGCCCGCACCGACTTGCTTACCTGTCATGACAACTCAAACAAAAAATCTCAGTTCTTCGTTTTAAGTATGGCATCCAATTTTACTTCGGCATCATATATAATTTCATGACGCAAACGTGAGAGGTGGGGGAGAGGTTTTTGTTTTTTAATTTCTTTCTCACTAGTCATTTTTTTATGTATTTAAATTTAAATTTGTGCTAAATCTTGCCCTAAAAAAACAAAATGTTCAACTGGTGGTCTTAAAAAGAGTCGTAGCATCATTAAGTTTCACTGCACTCGTTCTATTGATTTACTTAGCTTAGATAAGCGAACGGGATCTTTTTTAGGTTGATTTCGGGGTTCCCATGTTCTTCTATACGATGAAAAGGTTTAATCACTATTCGTGGATCTTTGGATGCGTCTAGAAGGTTATATGTTATATGCCCATCGAACAGGCTTTGAGAGAATACTATATATGAAGTCGCGCATTTTCTTAATCCGAAAATCTTGGTAAACTTATTATTGATTAGATTGCATGGCACTCCCCAATTTTGAGAGAGAGACACACACACAAACGCAAATTAGCCCCTCTGGTCTTGAAAATTTGTCAAGAAATCTCCTAAACTTTTTTAAATTTATGTAAATAATTTTCTTATCATTAATAGATATATTGTTTTGCTGACTTGGCATAATATAGTGAACTGTTAATCATATATCTCCTTTAATTTTATTTCTTTTTCATAAAGATAAATCTCTCTCTGTTTTTTTTTTCCCTTGATAAAGATAAATCTTTCAAACTTCGAGCTGGAGTTGTATACAGATATCATGACGCGTTTAGCAAATGAACCATCTGGTATATCCGTACATGCATCGTTGCCAAACTCCTAAACTGACTTTTCAAGTTTATTCTTTTTATTTTTTTAACTTATAAAATTATGTCAATTGTTAACTCATTTATAAATTTAAATTAGAAGTAAATTTAGTTAAACTCTCAAGTTGACTTTTTGAATTTACTGTTTCATGTTTCTAATTTATAAAATTATATTAACTCATTTATAAATTTAAATTAAATGCAAATTCGATTAACTTGCGAGTGACTCAATTATACTTGCTAAACTTGTCAAGTTTTTATCAAGCTAAGTATCAACTTAGTTTATAAAAGTGGCAAGATTCATTTTAAAGAACAATCAAACTCAAGAAAATAGAAACTAATATTAACACAATATACAAAAATGCATACATACATACATACATACATACATACATACATATATATATATATATATATTGCCCTATTTTAAAATTACTATGTTAAGTATGATAATTTATCAACTTAGATGGATTTAGTATGTGTTCAGTTTTCAATTTATCAAAAGTTTATTTAAAAAAAGTAAGTTTAGTAAAAGTTAGTTGTTATAACGAAGTTTATGTTATGATATATTTTTTAAAAATTAATTTGATAAACTAAAAATTATTTATATTAATAATAATTTGTGCTTTTAAAATATACTTTTAAATATATAATGACAAAAAAGAACATTAATTTATGATAATATATAATTTTTATTATACAAATATAATATATTAAAAATATTTAAAACTGTAAAAAAAATTTAAAATAACATAAAATTTAGTATGTTACAAAATAAGAATAAAAAAATATAAATTTTAATATTGGAAAAATTATATAATAAATAGTTTAACATTTATTAATATTAAATAGTTAAATGATTAATGGTTTGTTCTATAATATACAATATAATCTCTAATAAAATCGTTGTTTTGTTTCATTTCTCTATCAAAAGGCATACTTAAAATTACATTTGAAATTAACGATGAAAATATATGCCCATTAATATTTAACTCATGGTTTGCATTGCATTAACAGGCAGCATGGTCAATGATAAAATGAGTTTCAATACTTTTTTTAAAGTACTTTTCAAAAGCTCTCAAATTGCAAGTTGCCAAACTCACATCTATTATTTTTTTCAGAATCCTTTTAGAAAGTCCATTTACACTTATTCCAATTACCGAAACAACATCTGGCATTTAAAAAATAGAGAAAGACTTTTGAAACATAGGATGTAACAAAACTAGAAAGGCTCTTAATTTCAATGATTTATATTAAAACTATATTTAAATCAAGTTATAGACATATTTTACA